ATCTTCAACCATCAAATCTTTAACCATCAAATTCATATAACATAACACTATTTTAGATATTTTAATATCATAAAGTAATTAGGATATATATTAAGAACTAATATCATGTTTGGTACATATCTTTTTTTTTCTGAATGTTTCGGATTCTATTGAATATCTATTTAGTTTCAGACATGGTTCGGCTAATACTCATAATCCAAAATAGCATAAAACAAGATTTATTCAATATTTATATTAGGTTCAGATCGGTATGGATTATTTTTATCGGATCAGATTCGATTTATTTACCCAATCTTAGTAAAGGTAATTAGAATTTAACCAAAATTAAAATTACATTCGGTTATGTCGACAAAGGTTCCGGTTAAAAAAAAACAAAACCGAAGACTTATTAAAGCTTCTGTTTAATTTAACTGTCTTCTTCAGATCCACTCATCTGCGACAGAACACACACATCCCACTGACAAGAACTAAAACACTTCGCACGTCACACATTCTCTCTCTCTAAATCTCCACCAATGGAGAGCTTCGCACTTCACTCTCTCTCCACCACCGCCACTTCCGCCTCCCTCTCCCACCACCCCTCACGCCTCTCTCTCCTCCGCCGCATCTCATCAAGATCTCCACCATCAACCATCTCTCTCCGATCTCAACAACCTCTCACCTTCCCTCTCCTCAAACCACTCTCCCATCTCTCCACAACACGCATCTCCGCCACACCACGCGACAACATCCCTCCTCCTCCTCCTCCACCCTCTCCACAACCGCCGCAAGGAGCAAAACTCCTCCCACTAATCCTCTCCCTCTCCGTAGGCCTCCTCCTCAGATTCTCCATCCCTCTCCCAGAAGGACTCACCCCACAAGGCTGGCAACTCCTCTCAATCTTCCTCTCCACAATCGCAGGCCTCGTCCTAAGCCCACTTCCCGTCGGAGCTTGGGCCTTCTTGGGCCTCACGGCTTCCATCGTCACCAAAACGCTTTCTTTCTCAGCAGCTTTCTCAGCCTTCACGAGCGAAGTCATCTGGCTCATCGTTATCTCCTTCTTCTTCGCTCGTGGGTTTGTTAAGACCGGTTTAGGAGATAGGATCGCTACTTACTTTGTTAAGTGGCTTGGGAAGAGTACTTTGGGTTTGTCTTATGGGTTGACTATTAGTGAAGCTTTGATTGCTCCTGCTATGCCGAGTACTACGGCTAGAGCCGGTGGGATTTTCTTGCCGATTATTAAGTCGCTTTCTTTGTCTGCTGGGAGTAAACCGGGAGATTCTACGTCGAGGAAGTTGGGGTCTTACTTGATACAGTCTCAGTTTCAGGTTAGTTCCTTTGTTTTTATGTCCTATGTTGGAAACTGGAACCTTCTTTAGTTTAGTAGTGCGTGTGTTGTGTGTAATGTTGAGAAGATAAAGTTTTTTGGTTTAGTTCAGTGTGTAAGAAGAGAGAGAGGTATTGAATGTGTTTTTGAGCATTTACCTTCGTAGCAATATTGAACCGGTTAGTTCTTGTTTATGTCCTTTCATTGCATCTGAAAGTTTCATGTCGGAAACTGGACTAGATCTTAGTAGTCTGTGTGTTGTGTGTAATGTTGAGAAGATAAAGTTTGCAGTTTGCTCCAGTGTGTCTCTCTTAATTACATCTGAAAGTTCCATGTCGGAAACTGGATAGTTCTTAGGTAGTGTGTGTCTTGCCTGATGCTGAGATGCAGTTTGGTCCACTGTCTCTTAATCTATATTTATGGACTGTGATGGAGAAGAAGAGATAGCTTTAATCCTCTCATGGCTACTTTCTAGTGGTGTGTGTTGTTGAGAAGACAAAGTTTTCAGTTTGGTCCCAGTTTTTCTCTTCATTGCATCTGAAACTGGTTTCATTCTTAGTTAGTTGTGTGTGTTGTTTGATGCTGAGAAGACATAGTTTTCAGTTTGGTTGTGAGTAAGAAGAGAGAGCAATAGTTATGGTTGAATGTGTTCTTGAGCCTTTACCTTTGCAGCAGTCTTGAACCGTACTAGTCTTTCCTTAACCGGTCTTTGCTTAACTCCGTTTATGTTCTGTGATCTTTTTTTGACAGTGTGCTGGAAACTCCAGTGCTCTGTTCTTAACTGCAGCAGCTCAAAATTTACTTTGCCTTAAGCTAGCTGAGGAGCTTGGAGTAGTGATAGCAAACCCATGGGTGTCTTGGTTCAAAGCAGCTAGTCTACCAGCAATCATATCTCTTCTATGTACACCACTCATCCTCTACAAGCTTTACCCTCCAGAAACCAAAGACACACCAGAAGCTCCAGGCATCGCTGCTTTGAAACTCGAGAAGATGGGTCCCGTCACTAAAAACGAATGGATCATGGTCGGTACAATGCTTCTTGCTGTCACTCTTTGGATCTGCGGGTAAGTAGTGTTAATTAAGATAATAATCGTTACCATTGGTTAAGATCTAAAGGCTAGTTTCTGTGCAGAGAGACTCTTGGGATTCCAAGTGTTGTAGCTGCGATGATTGGTCTCTCTATACTTCTTCTCCTCGGTGTACTTAACTGGGACGATTGCCTAAGCGAAAAATCAGCGTGGGACACATTGGCTTGGTTTGCTGTCTTGGTGGGGATGGCAGGACAGCTTACAAACCTCGGTGTTGTGTCATGGATGTCTGATTGTGTAGCCAAAGTTTTGCAATCTTTATCCTTGAGCTGGCCTGCTGCGTTTGGTCTTCTCCAAGCAGCTTACTTTTTTATTCACTATCTTTTCGCAAGCCAGACTGGTCACGTTGGAGCTCTCTTTTCAGCTTTCTTGGCTATGAATATAGCAGCAGGTGTTCCAGGGGTTTTAGCTGCACTTGCTTTGGCGTATAACACCAATCTTTTTGGTGCTTTGACTCATTACAGCAGTGGTCAAGCAGCTGTCTACTATGGAGGTATCTTTATGAACAGAACTCTCTTTCTTTCTCTTTTGATGTTGGAGACTTTTAACTTGGATGATCATTTTTTTTTTTTTTTGCAGCTGGTTATGTTGATCTACCTGATGTATTCAAGATTGGATTTGTGATGGCTACCATTAATGCTATCATCTGGGGAGTAGTTGGAACTTTCTGGTGGAAGTTTTTGGGTCTCTATTAATAGCTTTTATTTATTTAAATCACCACACGTTGCTGTTCTTGAAGCTTACAACGACGTTAAATTTCGAGGGTTTTGTTTCCTCTACTTTTACTTGTAAAGATACAGAGATTTGTCACATGGAGATCTGGTCTCGTATCTTTTACGTTATTTTGCAGCTAACCAAATAAAAGTCAATAAAAACACCAAACAAAAAGCAAATAAATGTACTAATCACAAGTTTCAGACACTACGAAGGACTTGAAAGCTCTGTCACTTCCGAATCTCTTACGTTATATCCTGAACCTGTTAGCTGTAATGGCAACATTGAATCTAAAAAGTTAATAAAGACACCAAAACATTAACATAATAAGTTCTCTAGTTTGCAGAAAATAGAAAGACAAGCGTTTTCCGTGTATCAAAGAGTATTATACAAAGCAAACCTTTGCAACAAACCGAATACCAAAATAAAAACAGGAGACGAAAAGGTGTCTTATCGTGTTTCCTTCAAATAAACATGGTTAACTCTGGTCGACTATAAACATTGTTCTGCTCATCTTCAAGGACCGGGTAAGCAGCAACAAGCGTGTCCTGAGCACCAATGTAAAGCGAATTGTATATCTTCCAGTACACTTCACGGACTTTGCGAGCTGGATGAAACAGACCCTGCAGACAATAGTTCAGTATAACAGCTGCACCCAACGCAACTCTCATTCCTTCAATGGCTTCCATCACAGCGTTGATCACGTGAGGGGATGTCTCGAAGATGTTGGGCCAGATGAAGTTAAGCAAGTGAACCAAAGCGTCTTCGCATCCCAGACCAGCTACACCTAACGCCATGTGTTTCACTGCTGAAGCTGCGGTTTGTCTGTGAACCAAATCTCTGTCCATGAGCGCGTCTTCGAGTAATGGTGTGACCGCGTATATGTAATCCTTGCCCATTTCTCCAATGTATTCGAAGAGGAAAGAGAGGGATTTCAGGACACCGTTTTGGACGTTGAGCTCTGGAACACGATACTCGTTCATCAAAGCGGGTAAGACAGTAAACGGAGAGCATGTTTCAGCTACTATGGCGATTGCGACTGTTGTGCAGACACGGTTCTGTCGCTCTTGGACTTTGAGATTGTTCAGTAAAGTGGCTAGAACGTCTTGTGGTCCAATGGCTTTGGCGATGTATCCAAAAGTGTTGACAGTGGCACGTCTGATACCTTTCTTATGAGCTTTGAGCATTTCAAGAAGCTCGAAACAGATTCTCATCCACTCTCTTGCTGGAACAAACTCAGCACCACGATCAGCAATTCTACCAACAAGGTCGATACAATTCTCTTGCACTTTCTCGTGCCTGTTCTTCAAAATCGGAGTCAGTCTTGGAAGCAGATCCTTAATGGGAGGAGTCATCTTTGTCATTCCAATCACGTTGACAATTGCCTTTAGAGCTCCAAGAATTGATCCCAAGACTTCAGGGTATTCTTCTCCAAGATACTCGTACAAAACAACACCGAGATGTCCCATCAACTGTTCCTCTCCACAATGCTTCATAACAACGGCAATTCTAGAAATAAGATCAGCGGCTTGTTGTCTTACCTTTGCACTCTTGTTGTTTAATCGCCACTTGATGGTACCACAGATCTGAGGAAGATAAGGCTTTACTCGCTGACCAAGACCATTCACCACAGCACCAAACCCATTAAGCATCACATTAGTTTCATCTGTTGTCTGCTCTTGGAAAGCATAAAGCATGGCATCTATGAGCAGCTCCTCCAACCTCGAATCAATATCAGATGCACCTAAGTTAGTGATGACCTTGTCAATGGTTTCCATAACCATACGGCGGAATGGTTCACTCTCATCTTTAAGACCATCAACAACCTTCGACACAATATCAGTGACACCCACCTTGTTTGCAATCTCAACAGTAGTTTCAACAAGCTGCTTATAGTTTCTCTTGTCTAGAGCCATTCTCCTAACCCAGAAATGCTTGAAAAACTCAGGCAAAATATCGCTGCGGATGTAATCCGGTTCAACACCTTCTGTACTTACACACTGCTTCACCACCTTGAGGACAATCTTCTTCATCTCTTCATCAGGTGACTGGAACTCACGAATCAAGATAACCATCACTTCTTTTGTGTAGTAGCTTGCGTATATAGCATCCATCAAAGGGATGATGAAACCAATCGCCTTCAAGAACGCAGCTAAAACTTTTCCACGGTGAGACCTAATACCTTTCCACAGAGGCTTCAGAACAGAATCAAAGCTCTCAATACCATAAGGAGCAGCAGCCTCAGCAAGAGCAGCCAGTGACAAGGCCGTAATAGTCCTAACCTTCTGGTTTTCATCACTGAGACCATGTTCGATAATTTCCACCAGAGACCTTAAATGAGGCAAAACAGCACAACCAATGAGAATAGAGATCTGTTGGACAATCTTAATACCAGTGTGCCGTGCCTGCCACGACTTCTTACTCTGGCAAACGGCTTTCAGGAAAGGCAAGAGTGCAGGAATTCCAAGAGCTGAAGCCACCACACTGAAAGCTCTTGCTGTTGTGTTCCTCACATACTCATCCATATTATCAATGTCAGGACGCATAGCTGCAATCATAGTGGCTAAACCAGCTGCTTTGCTAAGGTTAGAAATAATCTCTCTCCCTTCTACACGAGCATAATAATCTTCGTCAATCAGCAAAGGCTCAATAACAACCAGAATCTTGTGGACGAAAGGCCTTACCAGCTCATCAAGTTTGTACAGAATCCTGTCAATTACTTTCACCAAAAGATGCCTCTCTTGATCTTCCAAAGTAGGTTGCATGAGCAATGGCAGAATCTTGTTAAACAACGGACCAGCACCAAGCTCACGAGCCTTATCAGTAAGCTGCCTTAGAGCTGTTTTCCTCTGAGCAGGTGTTCCGTTTTTGACCTTCAGCAACAGTTTCATGATCTTCCGTTCTTTCTGCTCGTCAGGTGACAGCTCCTCCTCGTTCTCTTCATTCAACAGAGCTGCAAAATACTGATAATCCTCTGGCTTCATAAACGGCAACCCATCAGGAAGTTCCTGAGGCACATCAAACTGCTGCCCACGGTGTTCCTCAGGTATAACATATCCAGGAGTTGTCATGGGTGTCGGGGTTCCCATAACCTTCCTAGCAGGTGTTCTGACGGGAACATAAGTAGCAGGCGGGTCTAACACCTTGTATCCCTCTGTAGGAAACATGGCATCAAGCTCTTCATCACTCAAAGGTCTGTTCCTCTCTTCAATATCCTTCTCCCACCTCGCCAAATTATACTGCTCCGGAGTCATAGCACCACGCAGATTAAGCTGACTCGGAGTTGGAGTAGCCATATCAATTCCCCCAAATGGAGTAACACCAGGAGTGTAAGCAGCATTAGGAGTCACTCCACCCATAGGTGTAGCACTCCCCATAGTAGCCGGCGTCTCATCCCACCTAGACCGCTGACGCTTCGGTGTCGGCGTAGCAGACCCCCCTTTCGGAGTCGCGTCCCAAGTAACACCAGTAGGAGTAGCACCAGGAGTAACACCACCGCCCGGTGTTGCATCGGAATCAGTCACACGTCCAGGAGTAGGAGTCTCATCCCATCTGTTCCTCCCTCTTCTTCCAGCAGACGGTGTAGCATCACCAGCTCTCCCCGGAGTCGCGTCCCATTTCCCAATCCCTGGAGCTGAATCAGCAACATCCCAATCCGAATCCGAACTACTTTTCGCTTTCTTCGCAACACCGCCACCATCTTCTTCGACATTGTCCCATCTATTCCTCCTCTTAGCAACAGGAGCAGAATCTTTCTGCTCCTTAGCAGCTTCTTCAGCTTCCTTCTTCTTCTTAGCAATCAACCTCAAAGTCTCCTCCCTCTGCCTCTGCACAGCAGTCTCCCTCATATGATCATTATAAGTCCTAACACTCGGATCCGGAGTCTTCTCCCCCATCGCAAACGGATCAACTCTATCCGGCGACAGCACACGGTTAAGCCTCCTGTTACGATACTCGCCTTCACGCTCCGCGATACTCTGCCGAGGCTGAAATCCGCCGTCGTCATCTTCACTATGAGCACGCGCCACGTCGTTTAAGATAGACTTAGGAGCCGTGTAGGAGGCGAGACGCTGAGCCACGAGGGATCCGTTAGCGTCCAGATTCGCGTCTTCTTCGTCGTTAGGTGCGATGGAAGTTACGTAGGAGTCACGGTCGTTGTCTCCGTAGAGATCTCGATCGAACGTGACGGAAGTGAGGGAAGCGAGCTCTGCTTCGATCTTACGCCTCTCTTCTTGAGTTTTCGCGATCTCGGGATCTAGATCCGCCATGGTTAGATACCTCAACGAAGCTTCCTATAGCAATAAGATCAAAAACCAGAAAATAATCAGATAAAACGACAACGTAATAGAGATAAGAAGGAGAAGAACTCACAGATTATTCGGAATAGCCTGCGATTGAGATGTAAGGGGGAAGTAGAAGGCGAGAACTAGGGTTTATCTTGTTAAAGGTAGGAAAATATAAAGAAATGCGAGTAAATTAAGTGACTGGAATTGACCGATTAATCGAGAGAGTCGGTTCTTATGTTTGGGCCGGGCTTTTATTTGGGCTCGTACTCTTTTTATTTTCTTGGGTTCACACAAATAAAGTTCAAAGATCACATATTTATAAAATAAAAAAAGATATTATGACAAATTTGCCATCTCAAATTTAATACTAGTTAAGTTTTTTTAAAAAAAATTGATAATGTATGAATTAAGGTGCAGTTTATATTTTCTTATGTATTGAGGAGTTTTTTTTAACATAATATCGAAATTTTCATAAGAAAATTAGGCAAGTATTCCTAATATTATTTCTTCATTTCAAATCCTCCTATTTTTATTTATTCATTTCTCTAATTAAATATAATTCTTTATTTAATTTTTCTCATTCATCAAATGGTTTTATCATGCGAAATCTTTATTTTGTAGCTAGTAAACTTCTACTGGTTGCCATTGGAAAAAAATTACGGAGAATAACCAAAATTGCAGTGTAAATATTATCTATGAAAGTTGACAAAAAAAAAATATCTATGAAGGAATTGAATAGATGACATTACACAACAAAGTAGAATAACCTTACTACTAGTGCGGTTACTTAATTAACATGTTTTGTCAAGCAAAACTGAAGAACAACATTAAAAAATTGCAGACCAAGAAGAAGGTAAAAGACCAATCACCATGTAAAAAACAAACCAGTTTGTGTACAAAAGGCATTGAGCATTGAAGCTATGCAGAAGCCACTTACTTCTAAGGGTACATACAACTTGACAAGAACACGTCTCTCTATACCCCCAAACTAATAAATCAAATCCATCATCATTCTCCCAACTATGTAGAGAGATAAAAGCTGTATTTACAATGCAAAACCTAAATAATGTTAGGAAAAAAAAAGCATTTGCGTATCATCATCATACAGTGAGTGGATGGATCCATCATCATTCAAATGCAAGAGACATGAAAGTATCGTCATCCAAAAGAGAATCAATGTCGATTAAATCATCTTCCTCGTTGTAATTCGCAGCTTCCTCTGTATTACTATTATTATTGTTGTTGTTCATAGCTGAGCTAGAAGAAGCCTGTTAACAAAGTTAAAGAGTCTCATCAAGCAAATGTTAACGAGACTTAAGGAAAAATACACAAAACTGTTACCTCGTTCTCGCGGATGCCTTCAACGACAGTTAATAGCCTACGGTACTGAGCCCTTGCTTCTGGATATTGAGCCATGGACTTCACTCTGGTGAGAGCCTTTTGAAGTCTTTCCTCGGTTTGTTTCCTTCCTTCCTTGAGAAAATCATAGTCATCTTCTTGTGTTGGTGCACATACAGGTTCAGGTGCCGCCTTGGTGACTGTGTCGCGTTTGAATCCGCGTAGGCCACTACCTTTACGTCTCCACCGTAAGATGATTTTCTCGAGTAATCCAACAGACCATATAATGGCTCTGTATTGTTTCCTCACTTGATGTCCTCTCACATGAGCCTACAAGGGTAATCAGTAGAATCAAAACATAAGACAGAAGTAAAAGAAAACTTGTTTTAAAGAAATGATTCAAAACCTGAATCTTGACGATTCTTTGTCGGATCAACAAGAACTCCTTTCTCTTCTTCCAACCACGGTACTTTTTCTGAATCTGAACAGCAGCGGCATGAACAGCACCGCTACTATGTCCTGCCTTCTTACTCTTCCCAGCTGCAAAAGAAACAGCCAACTCATCGGACATACCAAACTCATTATTCTCACCAAACTCAGACATCTGTTTCCTTTGGAACGACTGCATCCTAAACACCTGATGAAGACGATCAGCTGCTTGTGTGGCATTCAAGACAGCGGTGAGAGAATCCTTCAGCGACAGTGTTTCAGGTACATCACCATAACTCATAGGAGTAGCTGTCCGCTCAGCTACTGTTTGAACAGCTTTTGCTCTAGAGGAGTCAGTGGAGCTGTCTTCTTTGCCATCCACCGTTAGCTTCTCGAGGTAGCTGGTGAGGGAAGACTCTGCAAGGAAACCTGAGATTCCTCTGTGTTCTTTTCCGTAAGCCAAGTCAGAAGCTGTTTTGCCCAAAGGAAGCTCTGGAGATGGGTCTGTTAGTGCTCCGGAGTCAGCACCCAGAGAGACAAGTAGAGCAACAGTATCCTCCCTGAAGTATAACAATAAATACAGAGAAGAACTAACTGTCAGAGTTTACACGAGAATTCAAATGGTCTAAACACTGAGAACTAGGTCTGCGGTTATTAACCAAACCAAACCAAAAAGTCTGTTCAATTCGGCAACTAAGAAATTCGGTTTCCGGTTCAGTAATCGTTTGGTTTTCTTAAAAAAAAAATTACCAAACAATACCAATCTTAACCAAAATTCCGAACCGAACTTAACCAAAAAGAATTCAAATTTAATTTAAACCAAATGTTTAGCCTAAAATCAAATACTTGATAGAAAGTTTTGAAACCGAACTAACCAAAATCCGAACCGAAATAACTGAAATTAACCAAACAATTGAATTTTATTCAATTTAAAGCGAAAAAATTTAACCGAAAACCACAAACTTCAGTAGAAGATTTTGAACTGAACTAACGGAAAACTGAACCAAATTTCTTTCCGGTTCACGTCGGCAAGATTTCAACAAACCCAAACTAACCGAAGAAACCGAACCTGCAGACCCTGAGAACTTTTAAAGCCAAGGTAAGTGGTAAAGACGTTTTAGGACACACATAAAGTAAACGAAGAAACATAAAATCTGAGATCCTTGCCTGCCATTGAATGCAGCCCAATGAAGAGCAGACCAACCATTAGCATCTCGGAAGTTGATGCTAACTCCTGCTGCCAAAATTGGCTTTATAGCCCAATCATACCCTAAAGCTGCAGCAAGGTGTAAAACACCCTGTCCTTCTTCATCTAGTATATTTGGACCCTTACCCTCTTCAGTCACCTTATGGATAAGCCATAAATATAATTTATCTTCAAACTCTTCCCTAATAAGTCTCTCTTTTGCTTCCAACTCTGTTAAATCTTTCTCATTTGTTGACGTGAGGAGAGACTCCTTTTCATCTTTTAGCAACATGATTCTACTGATTTTTCTTCGTTTCTCCCCAACATCTTCAAATATATTATGTTCCTGAGCACTAGATACGCGACACAGGAGATTCTCAAACCGTTGATGAAGTGATGCTTCGTTTGTAAAGGCACCATATATGTATGCAGTGTTTAACTTTCTTGCAGAGCCAGGAAGGAAATCAAACTCTCGTACTTCGCTGCAAGAGAATCTGTCGGAACATGTGATATAGAACGGGACTTGACCGACTTCATGTGGAGGAGCATGACAGCAAAGAACACCATCCACTAGAATCTCAGCAGGAACCTCCACTTCTCCAAACATGCATGCCCAGCTGTAGCTAGTTACTTCTTGAGGATTCAACAGAAACGTCCCAATAACCATGACCTGTTTGGACAATTAAAACGCAAATGAGAAATAAAAGAGCTAACACAAGTTCATCAACTATACATGACTTCTGTTTTCATATTAAATGTCGTTTTAGTCTTTAAATTTTGTTTCATTTTAAGTGTCATTTTACTATTACTTTGCACATATTAAGTTTTTTTTACCCTTGTTTTATTAAGTAGAGATAAAACAGAAAACTTAAACGAAACCTATTATTTAAAAGACATTTATTATGAAATCGGAAGGAGTAATATTTACCTCAACTTCTGTGTCTGTATGATTCCATTTGGGCCAAAAGTCTATCATAGTGAAGCGCTGATCCTTAGATAAGGAAGGGCTTAAGGAAGAAGCAGCTGTTGCAGTTTCAACAGAGGTCCAAGCCATACCTCCGGATGAAGACTGCATCTGCAAGTCCTCCATCTCGGCGAGTTCGTTACTAACCCATCGAGAGAAACTGTCAACTTTTTTCAAACTATCCTCTTTCTTCAACAGTGATTTCCTTAGAGGTAGCGTTTGGTTAGCACTTGCTTCATATAGAAGATCCTCAGGGCCAAACTTAGGTATGTATGCTGCTTCAACACTTGTAAACGGAGCTTGAAAACTATCACCACCAATAGGCTGTTGATTTTGAGTACCAATAAGACCCGAAAACGTCTCATGTAAGGCCAGGTCAGTACCAACAGCCATACCAGAATGAGAGTCCATGGGGGGCCATTTTTGCAATGGCAAGCTGTCCTGAACTGGAATCTACATAGACGAGAATATTGCTGTCAATCAATACTGATACTCTCTCACATATAATCTACTTATAAATTAAATGGATAAAGTTAGATACACTACCTGCCAATTTACTTGGTTTTGAAGAGGATTTCTGAGATGCCCTTCCACGGACATTAAGCCAGCATTAGAAGGATTTATCTGAGACAACAGAGGATTATAAGGTACTGGTACATTCTGGTATCTTGCCAAGTGATTCTCAAAGGAAGCATCTAATGCTGGGACACCCACTAATCTTTGTGAGTCGTTTTCTTTTACTCTGTTCCCATGAACCTGCGATGTCCAACCATCTCGATTTCCTAGAAAGGAAAGACATTCTCAGCTAACATGTAACTAGAACTATATCCCAAAAGAGAAGATACCAAAGCACATAAAGTCAAAGAGACACACATATATATATATATATATACCAGAATCAGCATCTTCACATAGTGGTGACAATGCGCTGGATGTGTTTGCTGTTGAGTCAATATTCACAGAAGCGGATCCACTCAGAGAATTTGAATTGTTTTCTTTAGTTCCACTGGAACTTATCCGATTGCCCTGTATACATAGCATGAACTTATCAAAACCACCATTATAAAAAAAAAAAAAAGAGAATCCACTTTTAAAAAAGAACAATACAATGTTGAGTGATGGGTGTTTTCTATCCTAAGAATATATTAGTACAGTGCCGAGGGAAAAGCTATACCTTAACCTCCAAGTAGTGAACGAAAACAATATGCATCAGTTCCCTGTACCCACCCATACAAAACAGAGGACATCAGCACTTAAACTAACAAATCACATTTGATTTTTTTCGTTCTGTTCTCAAAGTTACAGTACACTAAAGATAACAAAATCAAATGAAATATGAAAAAAAGAAAACACATAGCCTCACTGTTCAAGCATCCAGTAGCAACGCCTCTGAAAATTCTCGTTGTCTTCCCCATGTGCATAGTAGCAATGTAACACATCAATGCTTCCTACCTATATATATATACTTAAACAATGTTACTCTAAAATATTTATAAAAAAAATAGTGGGGAAAATGAATGGAAATATTATTAACCTTGAGCTTTTCGTGAGCCTCTTTCACTGTTTTACCATCTTTTTTCTTCCTCCAATTGTGCCCATCTTTCCTAAAATATCTGAGAACCTTCCTGTCAAAGAGAAAGAGTGAACCACCTAGAAAAACACGAGACGGTGTAAGAAAATCTTAAAGCCAAGAGAAGCAGGACAATGAAAATTAAAAAAACTCTTAAATGCAACACAGAATTAAACCCCAAGTGAATAACATAATAATAGCCTATTCAGTATCCTAGTCATTGCTCAGCCATATACTTCACAGCTTAATAATGTTTTGCAGCCAAAATTTGAAGAAACTCAGCGAAAGAAAAACATACTGGGTGGTCTGTTGGGAGGCTCTGACGCAATATGAAACTTCTGGTAGTTCCGAAGAATCTCGCAGATCTCAGCAGGTCTCAGCCACCTGTGTTGTGCTTCAGACAGCAACTGTTCGATATCTACAACAAGTTCACAAAGAAACACATCAAAATCCGGATACAGTTCCAGGGTAAACACTCTCTTGCACTAGCCGATATCAAAATGCAAAATAGTTGTTTCAGCTAATCGTGACCATAGATTTCCTTCCGACAAAGAGACAAAAGAACTCAATTAAAACCAAGTAATAACCAATTACGACAAACATAGCAAAACAACAACACTAACGACTTTGAATCTAGATACAGTTCCAGAGCTAAATCAAACACACTCTTCCATTAACCACTACCAAAATGCAAAATAGTTAAATCATCTAATCATGGCCAGAAGTTTCATTCCGACAAAGAACTTAAGTTCAGACCAAGTAACAACTAATTCCGACAAACATGACAAAACAATAACCCAAAACGACTTCGAATATAGATACAGTTCCAGAACTAAAGAGTAAAGAGCGGGTAAAACACTCTCTTGTACTAACCAAAATCAAAATGCAAAATAGTTATTTCAGCTAATCGTGGTCATACATTTCATTCCGACAATGAGACAAAAGAACTCAATTAAAACCAAGTGATAACCAATTACGCCAAACATAGCAAACAACAACACTAACGACTTTGAATCTAGATACAGTTCTAGAGCTAAATCAAACACTCTCTTCCATTAACCACTACCAAAATGCAAAATAGTTAAATCATCTAATCATGGCCAGAAGTTTCATTCCGACAAAGAACTTAAGTTCAGACCAAGTAACAACTAATTCCGACAAAGATGACAAAACAATAACCCAAAACGACTTCGAATCTAGATACAGTTCCAGAGCTAAATTAAACACTCTTGCATTAACCACTACCAAAATGCAAAATAGTTAAATCATCTAATCATGGCCAGAAGGTTTCATTCCGACAAAGAAAACTTAAGTTCAGACCAATTAACAACTAATTCCGACAAACATGACAAAACAATAACCCAAAACGACTTCGAATATAGATACAGTTCCAGAACTAAAAGAGTAAAGAGCGGGTAAAACACTCTCTTGTACTAACCAGAACCAAAAATGCAAAACAGTTATTTCAGCTAATCGTGCCCAGAAATTTTATTCCGACAAAGAGACAACAATAACTCAATTCAGACCAAGTAAATAACCAATTCCGACAAAACATGACAAACAAGCTAGAATCCTACAAATGATCAGATCCAAGCTACCAAATGAGTTAAAAAGAAGCCATAGATGAAGAGATTAGAGACCTAATCGAGGGGCGAATCCGAAAGATCCACGATCAGCCATGGAGAGATCTCTAACTTGTCGCAATCACAGAGCTAAATCAACGAACGAACAAACAAACAAACCCTAGAAAAATCGATCTATGTATGTATGTGTGAAACTGAGCTAAGCTCTTATAAATAGTCTTCTTTCCCTTTTTCGAGCTTTCCAGGTATGAAAGCGAATTGATTTTGTTTCCCTTTTGAATCCCTTTTTTGGGGGCGAGTCGGAGGAAATCGGAAGGAAAGTGCCGATCCGGTGGAGGTTGTTTTTTATAAAACCAGTGAAGGAAAAACACTATCTTCCAATGATTGTGTTACACGTGGATCCACGGATGATATTTGCGCACGTGCTCTTTTGTTTTGGATCATGATTGTAAAAATTATCTTAACCTTGGTTGACAAAAAAAAATAAAAATCTTAACCTTGGTAGTGCTAAAATTAATTTTGATAATGAAATGTTAGGAATAGATAATAAAAATTTTAAAAATAAATTAATAAGTATAGTTCTTGAAAAAAAAAACCATTTTAATGAACTATCAAAAGGTCATAATAAAAAAGTCAATATTCAATGTATTCAACACAATGGACTTTATTAAAACAGAAAGTACCCTATTATTTCACTGGTTTAATTAAGATTATTTACTTTTCTTTATTAAATTTTTAATCTTAAAAATCTTATTATCTGATCATGCAGAACAACAAAATCTATATTATTAAAAATCTTATTATTATTAATCATGCTGATCAACAAAATCTAGATTATTAAAAGGGAATCATCCACAAAATCTATGGTATAAAAGTCATATAGTTAAACTACTTTTTTATTTAATTTTCTATTATTTTCATACAATAAATTTAATTTATTTTATATATACACATAATCTTAACATATTATTTAAATATTTTTAAATTAAAATATTAAAAATATTATTAAGTATGTTTTTCTAAGATTGTATTTAAACAATATATTTTAATACCATTTTATTAAAATAACTATTTTCTTAGTATTGAGTTTAAATCATAAAAAACTGTAACTAATTTTATAGTATTTTAAAAAATATTTTTATATTTTTCTACAAACTTGTAAGAGAATTTTAACATGAGGAAATAGAATTGCCTACATCTCAATTAACAAAAACCAGTCTGTTAAGCCGAGTTAAACCAAACAAAAACATATCGAACAGGAGGGTTTAATCCAGGGCCAAGATTCATATGGTCTAAAACGTCACGTCATGATTCGGACAAGCTGACATACTCAAAATCTTCATACTTTTGCACTACTCAATAATCACTACCATTGAAAAATAAAACTTAGTACGAAAGCAACGGTTAGATTCTAACCACGTGTACTTTAGCATCACTCGCCGCGAAACATATGCTGTCATCTCTTCTTCTTTCTCTCAGCAACATCTGGAAGATGACTTAAAACCCGAGAAAGTGAATAATATCCAAACACACACAATAACATAGGATCTGAAACAAAGAGTGTGTAACATGAGTCAACTCGTTGCAAAAACAGGTTTACGAGCTCTGCTTGTCCGTGGTGGAGTGAACTGTAACATGTTGGTGAGGTGTGTTTCCACCGTTACAAAGAAACCGATGCTAGTTCATAGCTTTGGCGATTTCAGTATCCGTTCTAAGTATGTGCAAGGTGTGCGCTTGTAGAGTATCCTCGACAAGCTTAGAAAAAAATATAGGTCCCAACAGTATAATACTTAAACTGATTATATGTTTCATTTCATGTATTCTAATTTTTGAGCAGTAACCTTGCTTGGGAGTTTCAACCTCAAGTATAGGAGGGTATGTTCTTCGTCGGAAATGGAAAAGAAAGATGAAAAGCCGAGGATTGATACGGTGAAGAAAGATCAAAACGGCGGTGGATCTGTGGCGGTTCCTAGTTATTGGGGAATAGAGACGGCCAAGATGAAGATTGCTCGCAAAGATGGGTCCAAATGGCCTTGGAACAGTTTTATGGTAACTTTAATACATAACCATGTTTGTTAGAGCATCCCTATTAGTGAACCCTATTTAGTTTAATATTTTATTATATAATTTTTTTCTGTCTGATTTTTTTTTTAAATAGATCAATCGTGCACCGTCATGACGCTACAGTGATGAACCGGATTCCCTGCAGAGAGCTTGCAAGGGATAGGTTCATCACTATTCTTTTTTTTTTTTTTTTTAGAAAACGTGTGAACTGAATCTTTGATGGGAGTGCTCTTAGCATGATCGCAAGTCGCAAATCCCTAAACTAATTAAGTTGTTATTTAAGCATTTATAATAATGTATATTTTGAACAGCCATGGGAGACGCATCAAGCAGATTTATCTATAGATTTGAAGAAGCACTACGTTCCAAAAAATGTAACCGACAAAATCGCTTACGTGATAGTCAAGCTCCTCCGTTTTCCCACCGACATATTCTTCCAGGCATGTTTATATGTGTTTTGTTTAGATAACTTCATGTTCAATTATTTCTACTAAAACCTTTACTACATTGTCACGCAGAGACGATACGGATGCAGAGCAATGATGCTAGAGACAGTAGCAGCAGTACCAGGAATGGTGGGAGGAATGCTCCTCCACCTAAAATCAATCCGAAGATTCGAACACAGCGGAGGTTGGATCAAAGCGTTACTAGAAGAAGCAGAGAACGAGAGGATGCATCTAATGACAATGATGGAGTTGGTTCAACCCAAATGGTACGAGCGTCTTCTCGTCATACTCGTTCAAGGCGTTTTCTTCAGTTCTTTCTTCACTTGTTACGTGGTTTCGCCACGGCTGGCTCATCGTATCGTTGGATATTTGGAGGAAGAATCTATACACTCTTACACGGAGTTTCTTAAAGATATTGATGATGGGAAGATTGAGAATGTTAAGGCGCCGGCGATTGCGATTGATTATTGGAGGTTGCCGGAAGATGCTACGTTGAGAGATGTTGTCACTGTGATTCGTGCTGATGAAGCTCATCATCGAGATGTTAACCATTTTGCTTCCGTAAGTGTAAACAACACACAAACCATTGTTCATATTTATCTTAAAAAGTATACCGATTAGTATTTACTATTTTAGTAGTATGTGATTTTTTAGTTAGTGTTGTTAATATTACATTTTTGCAGGACATTCGTAGTCAAGGAAAGGAATTGCGTGAAGCAGCTGCTCCAATTGGTTATCATTAGCTAGTTATTGTATTACTCAACTCTTTTTTTTAGAATGATGAATGTACTAAACATGATCATGGTTAGCATAATGAAACTAGAATTGTAGAAGCCTTTTGGTCCAGTAGCTTGTACAACTGAAAATTCAGGTCTGAAATTATAGAGATAGATAGTACTTAATTATTTTTAATTTATTTAAAAATGTAAACATAATAGCTAGACGTTAATTTGTTTGTTAATGATGATGCTTTACGGGAAATAAAAATAAGACTAAATCACAAAGAAGTCACTTATAACATGGTTTTGATTCACTTGTGAGAGTATATGATACAGAAACATGTCACACAAATTCGGGTTACAATTATTTTACAACGGATGATCAGTCAATAGCACCACCTTTTCTCAGTCCACCAAGCGTTTGGATGATAGCTTCCAAGAGCTTGATCTCGTTATCGCGTTTGGATATCTGTTCTTGCATCCCTCGTAGCTCTCCCATATGCAGCTTGAAAACCTCTGAAACAATATATCATCAAACCAAACCAAACCAAAAAAAAATATGAGAGACATGAACTGATGCAGCATCCAGCCAAGAGGTGCATTGATAATTTGAAAAAAACAAACGTACTTGTAGTGTTTTCGAGCTCTTTAGTGACCTCAAGGGCACGTGACTCCGCAGCGTTTTGTGAGGATTCGGCTTGGCGTTTCTCTGAACGAGCATGAGCAGAAGCTGTAATGGCGGCGTCTAGTTCTCTTTCTAATGTTTGTATCCTTTGCTCAAGCACCTAACACACATACATTTAAAAGAGTGAGTACACAGGTAAACATAATAAAGGGATCTGGTTTGGTGCAGCATAGGCCTGGCATTTTTGTCCGAACCGGGGTCAAACCGTTTTTTTGGGTTTTCGGTTCGGTTTTCGACTTTCAAAAAAAAAATTAAAATTATTAAAAACCAAAAATATCTGAAAATCCGAACCGAAAATAACCGAATAACCCAAAAATAACCGAAATAACCGAATTTAACCAAAAATATCCAAATATTTTGGAAAATTATACCAAAGTTAGCCAAAAATTTAAAAGTTCGGTTATTTTCGAAAATAAATTGAAAACCAAAATAAACCGATAACCGAACCAAAATTTCATTCGATTGTATTTTGGATTGTTTTTAAAAACTTCGGTTAACCGAAAAACGACGGTTCGGTTTGGTTCTGGAAAACCGAAGTCGCAGGCCTAGTGCAGCACAATGAAACAGACATTCACACTGAGCTAGAGTTAACGAATCAACATAACTACGGGCAATGATGTCTCAGAAGCTCAAGCAGATCCACAAAATCAACAAAAGTTCAAGAAAGATCGAATCCAATTAAACTCGACGACACACACTCCAAATCGATCACCACCTTGATGGTTCGGGCTTGTTCGGGGACGAGAGAGGCTCTAGAGAAAGTGTCTTCTTCAACGAAGACAGCTTTCTGGAGGAGAAGCTTCTGAAGAGAATCGAGATTCGAAGCCGTCTCCGTTATGTTCTCTAACGATCCTTTCCATCTATCCTCGCTGCTCCCTCTCATCGGAAAAGATCTTTCTCCTTCCTTCCCGGAGAATGAGAATTCAACTTGACTGAAATAAGCAGCTTGTAATACGAAGATGGGCTTTTAAGAGCCCATCTTACTTAACATAAGCTTGTAACTTAGGCCCATTTCTGTTTTATATAAAATCCATTATTATTCAGCTTATTGAAATTAGGTTTTTTGTAGCAGATTCGATTTCACTTTAGCTTCTTCATCAACAGCCGCTCCTCTGTCAACAGGTTTGTTCACTGTTTCTCATGTTGTCTGTATACCTGTTTAGTGATCTATTGGACTAGTATTTTGACTTGGTGGAATCATAATAGAGCTAGAGCAAGAGCAATATGTGATGACACGAAAATAGAAACGTATGGTCAATAATTTAATACCAATGTAGCTAGCTGTATGAATCTATATAGCCGGTTTGTTATTGTGTTTTATTCATAATTTTTTGATTTGATATTTGTATCTCAATATGTCACGTTTGTGTGGGTTTTTGCAGAATGGATTCTCAGATCAAGCACGCCGTGGTGGTGAAAGTGATGGGGAGAACAGGTTCACGTGGTCAGGTGACGCAAGTAAGAGTGAAGTTCACAGATTCAGACCGTTTTATCATGAGGAATGTGAAAGGACCGGTTAGAGAAGGAGACATCCTCACTCTCCTCGAGTCCGAGAGAGAAGCTAGAAGACTCCGTTGATCTCTTATGCCATTTCTCAAATTCACAAAATCTCTCGGCCTTATGGTCATGTTTTTGTTTTGTTTTGTCTAGAGTGTGGCTATGTTTACATTACTTAAGACAATCTTATATATTAAAACAGAAGTCATGACTTGATTTCATGTGTGATTTTTTAAAAAATAGACTGTTACTAGAAAGTTATGTTACATTAACTCTCTAATAATATTATCATTATTTTATCTTATAATATGCTTAACAATTTTGTTTTGGTAAATTACTCCACACCTTCCAACATAGTCACGCAAAATATGTCAATAGATATAAATTTAGGAATCTTCTATTATTTATAAGGAAATATGTCAATAATAGTTAAATGCATCCAGAATATATTAACAAAAATCACAGATTATTAATATGTAATATTTATATACCTTAACAAAATTTACACGTTATATATATTAGATAAATTTATTTCGATGAAAAATTTTAAAATTGTATTGTTTAAAAAAAAAGAAATTGTTTAAAAATTTCCTTTTTAATAAAATTTTTATAATATTAATTTATGAAGCTATAAGTTTAGTTTTTAGCAAAAAATTCTTCGAAGTTTATATTATCTTTGCAAATTAAATTACACTAATATTTAATCAAGCTCTATTTATATTAATTTATCTAAAAATGAAATACTAATCTAACAAACAATAAAATATAGAAGAAGAAACAAACACATGTTTGAAAGTCATGTATAATATAGAAAATTTGAAACAATTTATTTGATTAAAACACTTATTATATAATATTATTATGTTTGAAAAACATTTACTATACATATCGTAAATATGTGATTAATATAATATATACCAATTTACAAGTGAAAACAAAATGTTTATATAACTATAAACAAAAACAAACACCCGCGCGGTTGCGCGGATCAAAATCTAGTGTTTAAGTTAATGGTAATGGTTTGGTCTCCTTTTAAGACAATGTTTGCATCTAGAAATGAATCTTTTATAACAAACAATTGTGTCATGTTTTGATTTCTAACGTGTACAATACATATACAGTGGTCATACCGTGAATATTACGATGGGAGATATTTTACAGAATTACAGTTCATGCTGGTTATAAATTACCAAATTAACCTCCTTTACGCGTTTCTTCTTCCTCCTTTCCCATCTGTATCTCAATCATCTCTCTCTTTTTTTTTTATCTGTCTCCTACACGACCATCCCTTTATAATTCACTTTCTAAAGATCTCTTTGACAATAACAAAGAGAAAGACAGATAGAGATAACGAATCCTTCTTCTTCCTTCTGGTTAGTCGTTTCTTCTTTTTAAAAAAACTTCCATAGCTTTCGCTTCTTCTTCTCCTTTCTTCTTATCTCGATATTATCTGATTCTCTGCGTCTTTATGTCATTTTTAATATTCTTGTCTTCGATTAGTTAGCTCTGGTTTAGAAATTTAATTGTATTGGTTTCTGTGATCTGATCTCGTATTGGCTTGTGTTTAGCTTAGATTCCGAGTTTGATACAAACGTTATCTATATTGGCATTGTGGAGATCTTGATTTTGATTTAAATCTGGAAACGGATTTAGTTTACACGTACAATATTATTATGTTTTGAGTAACGTTTTATAATATTTAAACACTAGTGCAGCAGTTTTTTAAGGTGTTTGGTGGCGTTTGAGACATCATCATAATGTCTAGCGTAGAGGATTTGAAAGAGCAAGGAAACGTCGCGAGTGAGGCAGAAAAGTCGATGATGCCATCATCACATCAGGAGGTTTCCATCTATTTTCTTTTTTTATCATGTAATTAAAATATTCATACCGGAGTTAATCAACTCTTTTCTTTGATTGTATTGTGTAGGAGGCTGCTGTAAAGAAGAAGTATGGAGGTCTCATGCCAAAGAAACCACCACTCATTTCCAAGGTAGTTTCATTTACTTGTGGTAATAAGGAGTTTTTGTTTTTGTTTTTGTTTCTGAGGTGTGTGGTTTTTATATCAGGATCATGAGCGAGCATACTTTGACTCAGCTGATTGGGCTCTTGGAAAGGTAAAAGTTGTTAGAAGTTTGATTCCACGAGTGTTAGTTAGTAAGCTCCCTTATAATGCTCTCAGTCTCATGGTTTTATGATTATTTCTTGTAAACAGCAAGGTGTTGCGAAGCCAAAGGGACCTCTTGAAGCTCTTCGTCCCAAATTACAGGTATATGAGTTTGAAAACACGCATCTGTTTTCTTTCTTTCTGCTGTTTGTTTTCTATCTTAAGATCTTGTCGCACTTTTTGCAGCCAACACAGCAGCAGACACGTTACAGGAAGTCTCCATGTGCTCCATCCAATGCCGGTGAAGGTAAAACTTTTACATCTTATCATTTCCATATCCAAAGCAATTCAAGGACTTACTGATCAGTCTCTTTGCTCTGATATCATTACAGATGGAGGAGAAGCTGCTCAGACCGAAGGAGTTTCCGGCAACAACGAGGAGTAGAGACAAAGAGAGAGTGAGAGAATCTTGTGTAATAACTTTGTTATAATCACATCTTGTCTGTCCATTTGAAACTATCATTACATCTTAAACTTGATCGCATAGCGTCTTAAAGTCCAGACATTATCCTAGTCTATATCATTTGCCAAAAGAGAGTTGAATTAAGGATCATTACAAGTTCCATTACCAGCATTTTCTCAATTCACTCACAAACTTTCCCTAACCAAAAGCAAAAGTCATGAAGAAACCAACTCAAGCATATGATTCATACAACAAGGATTGATTCTACATTAGTCTCATATTCAACAACACATAAACCTTCACAAAACCAAAAAAAAAAGATCACCTCACTTCACTTCACTTTGAAGACAGAAGAATCTCTGGCTGCTTCTTCGACTTACTTGGAGTGTTAACATTCGACGAAGACCCATTAACACTCTCCTCCCCAACACCCACATCCTTCGCCTCCCTCCTCGCACTCACATCAAGATTAACTAAACTCCTCGTCGCCAAAATCGCCTGCGGGTTCAAATCATGAGAAGCTCTCGCGTACAACGACCTCACCGCATTAGAAGCCGCATCCTTAACATCTTCACTATTCAACGGACTAAGCAAACAATGTCCAAGAATCCTCAACGTTGGTTGAAGCAACTCCCATGGAAGTGGAATCCTCACACCTCCTCCAACATTAGAGCTAATAATCTCTTCCTCCTCCTCCTCAATCTCAATCTCAATCTCACTACCTCCATTAGTCAACGCCAAGACTTTATCTCCATCTCCATCAATCTTCTCCTTACAATCACAATCCTGACCAGCCCAAGCAGCCGAGAAGCTACAAAACTCAAGCTTAGACCACACAGGCATCTGAGAAATCTCCTTGAAGTAACACTGCAACCCCACACCAACGATCCCCGCCCTTTTAGTCGACTTCACAGCCACCTGAGGCTCAAGCTGCGGAGACAAGACTCCAACGGAGGAAGCAGCAGCACCATTCGTCGATGAAACCACGCCGTTTCGCGGCGTGTGGTAGAGAGACGGCTGAGAGAGATCAGGGATATGGACGAGCACGCCTTTCCCGGCGCGTGATTTCACCTCCGCCGCGTGGATCGCGAGAAGCACGGCTTCGAATCCGGAGAGGGAAGGTAGGGAGGAGGAGTGGATCCGAGAGAGATACGTTCCGGCGAGCAACGGGAGGAAGGAGAGGACGACGAGGCGGAGAGGGGGATCGGAGGAGAGGTAAGTCTCGTAAAGCCACTGGCAGAGCGGGTCGGATCCGGATCCGGATCCCGGATCGCGGAGAGAGGATGAGATCAGCGAGTACGCGGCGCGTGAGGAGAGTAAAGACAGTGCGGGGCGATCGGAGTCGGCTAGAGAGGAGATCGGAGCTTCGTCGGAGGAGGAGGAGGAGAGGAGAGATGAGAGGGAGAGGATGCGGGAGCGTTGCTTGGAGACTGATTCCCACCAGGAATGCATTGGATCTCGATCGGAGGCGGTTGCGGTTGCGGTTGCGGAGGGTTTGAGACGGTTAGGGGTGGAGGAAGATGACGGAGACGGTGAGTTGCCGTTAGGTTTGACGGAGAAGTCCATAGGGTCTAATTAGTTGAAAATTGGCTGGATTTTAGGGACACCGAAAATGAAGGGAGGATTGTCTTCGGTGAGGACTGGTAGTAGTTACAGTTTGTTTGTTACTTGTGGGTGTGATTAGGAAGTTTGGAGAAGTTATGGGGGTGATTGAAGAGAGTAAAGAACTATAGGGCTGTAGTACGTGGGCTTTCCAGCTCATGGCCCAAGCAAGATAATATGATTAATTGTTATTACTCGACTGCACGTTGTGGACTTTATTAACGCGCGAATCTTCCCTGCGCACAAGACCAACATATATACTAATAAACTAAAATAGTAACCAAAAATACTAGGTTTGAGACTTATTATCCGGGATCAAGGTTCGATCCGAGATCCGCTCCGAAAATAAGATATTCGGAGTGTCTGGATCCGAATCCAAATAGTAATCACGGATCCGATCCGGATATCACAAATTTTAGGTCCAGATATCCGGATCCATGTTTCTAAAATATACTAATTTTTAGTTTTATGAATAATTATGTTTGATATATTAATATCTATACATAAAAATTAATATTATAAATTATATCTTAATTTTCATAATATTATATATCATAAATATATTTATAAATTGTGTAATTATGTCTAATTTATATTTTATTTTTAGATATTTTGTATTTTAAAATATTTTTTATTTATTTTTACGGGTCCGAATCCGGATATCCGCAGATATTACAATTTCGAGACAGATATCTGAACCCCAGGTATCCAAGAGACACAAATTCGAATCCATATACTAAAATTACGGATCCGACGAATCCAGATATTCGGATCCGTCCCACCCCTACCAAATACTGCTAAAGACCAATTTTTTTTTTTTGCTAAAGACCCAATTAAATTAATCAAAAAAAAACAAAGAGTTGAAAAATAATTTCGAAGTATTTGTATAATTTTGTGTATCATCATCATCTTTTGTTAATTTAGAATCTGAGCAAAGATTTGGATTTTATGTGCCAATAGGACTGAAGGGAAATCTCACCTTATCCACAGTCGAACCACACTCCCGTATTACATGCATGTCCACGTCACCATCTCTGATGCTAAAATCTGGTCTCTTGCTTCTTCGCCACCCAACCAATCAAGAACTGATTACTCTTGAATTTTTCTGAACAAGCAAAGGAGAAACAACAAGGGCAGCCATGAACTCGAGTGTTTTCACTTGCAGCTACGCAATCTCTGGTGCTAGCTCAGCAGAGCTAAACCAGAAAGTGGGTTTGGTAAATAATTCATCAGTTTGGTTTGGTCAGAAGAAACAAACGCTTCCTGTGATCAAAGCTCAACAAAGAGTTAGTGGTGATGATGTTAATGGAAGAAGATCCGCAATGGTTATCTTAGCTGCTACACTCTTCTCCTCTGCCGCTGTATCTGCTTCTGCTAATGCTAGCGTCTTCTTCGATGAATACCTCGAGAAGAGCAAAGCCAACAAAGTAAAAAAAGTCTTGAAAACGTTATGAAATCTTGTTGACATCTCTAGAGAAACCTTTTTTTTAAGTAATGGTTTTTATGTTGAATATTTTCGATGTTAGGAACTGAATGATAAGAAGAGATTGGCAACAAGTGGAGCAAACTTTGCGAGAGCATTCACTGTCCAGTTTGGAAGCTGCAAGTTCCCTGAGAATTTCACTGGTTGCCAAGATCTTGCCAAGCAAAAGGTTCTTTCCACAAACTCAACCTTTTCTTTCTCTTTGGAAGATAGTTAATTGAATAGTTTATGATGTTCTTGGTTTTGGTTTTGTATTTGCAGAAAGTACCATTTATCTCAGAAGATTTGGCTTTGGAATGCGAAGGCAAAGACAAATACAAGTGTGGTTCCAATGTTTTCTGGAAATGGTGATCATGTTTTGTTTGTATATGCAATCTTTATTCATCAAATTTGCTCATATCCATTTGAATCTATAAAGTTAACCTCTACTGAGATAAATATTATTGCACACACAAAAGAAACCAAAGAAACATTATTCGTTGTGGAAACAAAGAGTTACAAAGAAAACAAACACAAAGAACGAATCAGAGAGAAGAAGCTTTCTCTTGCTCAGCAATGGACTCACGAACTGCTTTCAAAAGCAGAGGCATTATCTTCTCATTAGCAACTATAATCCCTGTGTCCAAATCAAGATACTTCCCTTTCGAGAAATCCAATGCCTTTCCACCTGCATCAGTCACTATTCCACCAGCCTCTGCATCCCAAAAAAAACAAAACCAATATTGCATTCACATTCACATATATGGTATCATTGTAATGTTGATTATGTTATGTTACCTGTAACAACTATAGCACCAGCTACATGGTCCCAAATCTTTTCACGGTATCCTTTATGAGGAAACCTTAAGTATATAGCTCCATCTCCTCTTGACAAAGCTCCATACTTCGCTTGGCTATCTATACGCACTGGTGGAGCTTTCACACCAAGTTTCTGTATTATATAGCAAACAGAGGACATTGATCAAATGGTTGCAGAATCAATCACATGGAGGAGACAAAGAGAGAAGCAACTTACATTGGCAATGGAGCTAGATAAATCATGAAGAGAGTGAGCTCCTTCAAATGATTCAAAGAAGGAAGCCTCTTCAGGGTTCTCAACACTAGAGACATGTACTTTAACTGGATCAGATTTTGAATCTAAAGGCTGCATGTATGTCCCTGAACCAATTGTAGCAAAGAAGAGACATCCTTTTTCATCTGAAGAAGAAGAGTTCTTGTCCTTGCTGTCTCCTGCTATTGATGCTAATGGCAAGTTTGGACAAGCAAGCACACCTAACACTACTTTCCCTTCTTCAAGCAATCCTAATGCTACTGCATACTGATCTCCCCTCAAAAACCTAAAAACTCCACAGTATCAGAAACACACAACGATATTCTCAAAGTTAAGTTTTAAAGACTTTTTTACCCTTTAGTGCCATCAATGGGATCCAACACCCAGTGTCTACCATTAGGACCACCTTCAGATGTGCCACAGTCAATGGCTTTGAGCAGATCATCTGTTGATAAAGTAGAGTCAACAGGTTTGTGCAGATTCTCAGTAGCTAAAGTGTCGTTGACGAGTTTTGTGATGCGTTCAAGTATCTCATGAGAACCATCTTTGCGTAGATCAGCTGAGTCCTATATTACATAGTTTTAAAGATAAGTAATGTGAGGGAGAGAGACATGTAAACAAAGTGTTTTTTATTAACCTCTTCAGCCACTAATGAAAAGGGTTCAGAACTTAGTTCTCTTTGTAAGAGTAAACTAACAACTGCTTGTGAACCTTGAAAGAGACACAACAAAGACAAAGACAGTTTAATTACTTGTCATAATGATTAGCTATGTAATTACAAAGAGAGAGAAACTAACCATAATCAGCAACAGTGACTGGACTTTTATCAGATTTTGATTGAACATCAGACTGTAATAATTCCTTTTGAACTTTCTGAATCAAATTAAACGAAAATAAAACTTTATTAGAAAATGGTTTTTTTAAAAGGATCAAACTTTAAGAGTTTTGAGACAGAGGAGAAAGAACCAAAACCTGACAGAGACGAGCTGCGAGTGAAGCAGCTTTCTTAGCAGCGTCAAGCTCTTTCTCATAAGCCATTGATGAAACTATAATCTGAGAGTAACAGATAAAAAGGAGACGACTTTTTTCAGGATACAGAGACAATACGGTTCGATGAATCTCTTGATCTCTAATTTGATACAGATGTCTGAAGCGGAAGCTTCTTTGTCCGAAAGCAATTTATAAACATGATCATTGCCAAGACAATTCCAAATTTACCGTATGCATCCACGTATTTATTTATCATTTTAAATTAAGCCCTATAGTTTAGTTTCTATCAACAGAATCCAGAATTGCTGCTTGTTATTTAGTACCGAACTAAGAAAAAACTAAAACAAGGGGTTAAAAAGCAACACTTTTAAAGTTTCATAGATTGGTAGTTGAGTTTGGGGCTAATGGATATCGCGCACGTGGATGTGATGTCTGAAACGTCGTGAATTATATAGGTAGTGAGATTAAAAAGGCTTTTTGAAGCCCAATAAAAGGGTGTCTAGGATTTATACAAAATTTGGTTTAGTTAAGACTTAAGAGTAATATGCTTAAGGTTTAAGGGTCTGACTTGTCACAATGCTGGCGATTGCGATTGCGGACTTTACGGATACGAGAGATTAGGGTTTTAAGCAAAAGATTTAGACGACTGATTCAACAGTTAAAAATTGTTACGTTTGCAAGATACCTATAACTTGTTTATTATCAAATACAACATCGGTTAAGTTATAAATTAAAAAAATTTATATGTTATATAATTATTAAAATATTCAAATCATATTTTCATAATAAATATAAAAATTTATTGATAAAGCTGTACTATTAAATTTTTTAAAAATTAAAGAAAATATTTTTTTTTGAAATTTTATAATATAAATATTTTGGTATTTAATTATATTAATTTAAAAGTTTAACTGAATATTTTATTTTTATATTTATATAGTTTTTTGGAAAAAAATATATTTTTTTCTCCTTCTGCAATCGCACGCAACCGCAAACGCTAGCTGGAACCAGCTTTTGAATTTTAAAGATTCAGAGCGATTTTAAGCGATATATAACATTTTCTGTGATTGTTGCAAAACGCTAACAACCATTACCAATCACAAAATCTGCGTTTGCAGGTGATGTCGGAAAAACCAGTCAGGTCCTAACTCTGGTTTAAGGATCAAAACATGTACATAGGAAAAATATGTTATTAATTTATTGAAGAAAAAAATTAGTTAGTTAATAATTAAGGTGATAAAGCACTACAAAAAAAAACATTGTATTTTTGACATAATTTTGTTGGAAAATAATCTGTAAGAATTTTGACAAAAACCTAAATAAAGAGAAATCATTAAAAAAAAATCGTCGTAAATTCCTCAAAAAGTTTTGACAAAATTATATCAGTCAAAATTTCTTTAAAAAAAATTTTACGAAATCATATCGGTGAAATCTCATCAAAATTTCAAAATAAAAGATTATGTCAAGAATACTTTTAACGAATTTTGAGACAATCTATACGTTAACCAACCATTGTAATAAGTAACTAACAAATTTTCAAATTTATATTTATAATTTGGCATTTACATCAATTCAAAGGATATGACTATTATATTCTATCTATCTTATTAAATCAGAAACATTACGTTGGACCTAACATTTGTTTTCTAAATTTTTAAATTAAATATATATTTCTACTTTATAGTTAAACATACATTAAATCATTAATATTGTTTTCTTTGTACTACTATTCATGTTTCCAAACAATATATTTATTTCTTTATACTACTATCTATGTTTTCAAACAATATATTTATTTCTTTATATTACTATCCATGTTTTTCAAACAATATATTTTTTTCTTTATACTACTATTCATGTTTCCAAATAATATTTGCATTTCTTTATTTCATTATACTACTATCCATGTTTTCAAATAATATACCCAGTTCTTTATTTATTTATACTACTATCCATATTTTCAAACAACACTATAATTAGTCTTATGTCCAAACAATACAAAATATTAGATCTCATCTTTTTTAATAACTTCTCACAATTCTCTTTCAATTTTTTTTAGATAAATTAAAAATTCGAATAATATATAAAACAACGAAAATAAACCTATTTTTACAGATTTAAATGTTACATATAGTTATCCATCGGTCCAACTGGTTAGTCTCGGGTTTTAGTGATTGTTTAAATATGGATATTTTAAAAAATCAAAATTGAATTATCGGATCATATGTTTAACCGCAGTGTGGATTAAATTTAAAATTACTGATTTAAATGCAAAATATTTTCAATACATATATTCTTTCAAATTACCATATTATTTGTTAGGTTATTTATGAAAATTTTCATCATAAAATATTTTGTACTTGCAATGTTAAAACCAAAGTTAAATTTGAAGTTCACCTAACCTATAAAATAAAGGTTATGGCCAAATTTTATTTAAAAATTGTATATTAGTTGATTTTTTTTGGATAATTATTAACAGCATAGGTAACTAAACTCTCAAAACAAAAACAATTAAGTTTGAATTTAATTTTTCATTTTCGAATTAACGTACAAAATTAATCTTTTTACTGCATGGTTACATCTACATAGTACACTGTTAGACGCTATTAATACAATGACAATTTTGATATTGTTCTTTAAACATAAAATCGAATTGGACAAACTCGAAACTATATAAAACTAAATTATATAGAATACATCCGAAAAATAAAATATGCGCAGATGTGCGGGTCATGATCTAGTTAATGAATAAAAGGAGAATATCGTCTAATTAAGATAAGAAAATCTTTGATTACAAGGTTTCAACACTAAAGAGTGATAAGATTGTATTCTAATGAGTCAGAAGAGAATATAAGATACGAAATCTTTGGTTACAATGTTTTCAACCCTAAAATGTGATTTCTATATTTAGGGTTGAAGTATTTTTCAAAGCCTTTCTATCTCTTTATATAGCCGCTCATTTTTCTATAGTCTCTCAATCTATCTACTACTAACCAAAAATTTTCAATTGTCTCCTCAGACAGATTATCTTACCCCAACCCATATCTTCCTCCCTGTGAGTTCCCCTTTGTGTAGTGTTTCATATCGATTAATGTCGATTCTTGTGCACAAATGTGAACTCACGGATAGGAAGACGTGGGATGGTGGTAGAATATGAACATATTGTTTTTGTTCGTTCTCCAAACTAACTTCTTAATTGTATATAGCATACTTATCTATCCATATATCAAATTCTCAATATATTGTCTCGTATGAATGTTCTGCTCTTATTGACTTGTGATCTTGTTTAGATGCTTCACTAGTTGAAACTCATGTACACAGTCTCAAGCGGGTGAGAAATAAAAGCATTGATATGGGTCGAATCTGCACATGCTCTCCTTGTTTGATATTCTGTAGTGGAATCCCCTTATTATTTGTTCCTCTTCAAAAGAGTTAGCAAGTACGTACGTATACAAGCTTTTTCAATTACCAAAATGTATTTTGCTAATAGGAACATGAGTTGTTATAGAGCAGCTCCTCATGAGGTTTTAGGAATTATATATAATTTAATAAGAATTTTAATTAAAAAAATGTTCTTAACAATCTGTTAACATATTAACATTATATTTATTTAGATTAACACTTGAAATTTTGAGAGTTTTCAACCAATATTTCATTTTGTCGACTAAGCCGAATGTTGTATATGGCTTTCCTACGATGTATATTTTATGAAGTTATAACCAATGATAGTGCTTAATCCAACTACTACATCGCAAATAACATTCAATTTAAACTGAAACTTCAATAGCAAAAGAAACCAGTTGAAACAACAAAAGACTTAGAAGCTCCAACGACGAGTTGTTTCTTGGCTGTGACCAATAAGAAATCGTAGAAAAAAAACTTGTAGGAAAGTAAGCTCAAAGTAATTGATCAAAACTTTGCAGCCAACACAGGATAGCTGTTTAAGGAGTAGTGACTGATATTAACCTCGTGCATGTGACTTCCATAGAACAAACTGTTCCTTTCTGCCATTCTTTAAGTCTTAAGAATAGCTCAAACCTTCGAAGAAGTGGCTGAAAACAACGTATGTTTTAACCTCCAAGCACCAGAATAACGAGTAAATAATCAAAAAAATTGATAGAAAGACTCCACTTCCAACTAATCACCTTGCTAATCTTATTCTCAAGCACGTAGATGGGATCTTCTGACTATTCATAATTAAGCCTAGGTGGTTTATTATGAAGAAGATAAAGTAACGTTGATGATATGAAGACTACCTTGGCACCTTTAGTAGATTGTAAAATCACATCATGAATCTTTCTTTTTTGTTCATTATCAGATCAAGTTTCATTGAGTTCATGAGTTACTGCTAAAGCGATAAATTTTATTGATATTTCTTGTTAACTAGATTTTATCTTTTAATTTCAAACCTAGAAGAGAACACAATCTATAATCAGTAAAATGAAGATTTCAATACAACTTAATTATATGTCAGAAAACTTGCATTAATTTTCTTTGAAAGTTAAAATTTCATCGTGTATTTCAAAGTCGGTAACCATATCAAAGTTCAAAACATGCTGTAATAAAATTATATTTGACCCACTTAGTTATCGAAGTAAAAAACTAATTTGATAGTAATTTAGGTGATAAAACAATATATATTTTCAGATATAGTTGATGATGTGGCAATTATATTAATTCAAGGGGTAAGATTGTTGTTGTATTCTGATGAGTAAGAGGAGAATATCTTCTAATTAAGATAAGAAAATATTTGGTTACAATGTTTCAACCCTATAATGTGATAAGATTATTGCATTCTACTAAGTAAGGTGAGAATATCTTCTAATTAAGATAAGAAAATATTTGGTTACAATGTTTCAACCCTATAATGTGATAAGATTATTGTATTCTACTAAGTAAGATAAGAATATCTTCTAATTAAGATAAGAAAATCTTTGGTACCAATGTTTTCAACCCTACAATGTGATAAGATTATTGTATTCTACTAAGTAAGGTGAGAATATCTTCTAATTAAGATAAGAAAATCTTTGGTGCCAATGTTTTCAACCCTATAATGTGATTTTCTATAGATAGGGTTAAAGTATTCTTCAAAGCCATCTTCTATCTCTTTATATAGTAGCTCAGTTTTCTCTAGCCTCTCAATCTCTACACCTATAATACTTCGATTGTCTACAGATCATCCTACCACATCCCATATCTACCATCTTTCTCTACAGCTTTTGTGTTTCATCATTGTTTTCTTGATAAGATAGTGTTTCATCAATTAATGGTTGAAACTTATGCACAAGCTGTAGCGAGGATAGGTAGATGTGGGATGGTGGTAGAATATGCACATATTGTTTTTGTTCGTTCTCCCAACTAATTTCTTAATTGTATATAGCATACTTATCTATTCATATATCAAATTGTCAATCGTCTCGTATGAAAATGCTCTCCTTTCATTGGCTTGTCGTCTTGTGTAGAGAGGCTTCACTGGTTGAAACTCTTGCACACAGTCTCAAGCGGGTGAGAAATAAAAGCATTGATATGGGTCGAATTTGCACATCCTCTCCTTGTTTGATATTCTGTAACAAATCCCTTTAATATATGCAAGTTCCTTCGAAAGAGTTAGCAAGTACGTATACAAGTTATATACAAAAAGAAAAGTACGTATACAAGCTTTGTTCATCAAACGTGAATCCATTTTAATTACATATATTGGTTGTCCTGTGATGCAGATAATTATAAAGTACTAACCGATGATTATGGCTTGGAAGTTTCAAAACTTTTAATCTTAATACTACAAATGATTCTCGCTTGTTTGACTCAAGTAATTCTTAACACCGTACTTGTTGTATATGCCTAATTACCTATCGATGGATCTCTATTATGTTTACGTATATGTTGTTCGGTTTCGGGTAGGAACCATTTCGGTCCTGGATATATCGGATAAATAATTTATATATCCAATAAGTACTTATGAAATTTTGGTTCGATTCTAGTTATCCGTTTAATATGTGTATCAAGTATATATATATACAAAATATATTAATTAATATGTTAATTTAAATGGTCTAATGCTTACACGCCTACATATTCGTTAATCTAACAAGAGTTCGAGACAATAAATTCTTAATTTTATAAATATTTACTGTATTTTAATATAGAAATACCATATATATTTATAATATAAGAGGCTAGATAAATAATAACGTGAACTGCTTTTAACAATATTCTCACTCTTTTTTGTCTAACCTGGGTTCAAGTGGATTTGATGTGGCCTCAAGTGGGTTTAATGTCATTTTACCTAATATTCAAAAGTTTAAATTTGTTTTTAGGATATTCGGATACTCTTTCGATTCTCGATTTGCTTTTTCGAATATAAGAATATCGGAAGCATTCAAAAATTTAAGAATTTTTGTTCCGGTTTCAGATATTTCAGTTTGATTCCAATTGTTTTTGTTTTTTGTTTTTGCCCAATACTAAATTTATGTTTGTTAATGTATATGATATTTTGCAAATCTCTGCTTGTTTTTGTTTTCTAAATTTTAAGAATATAATTATTTTCAAACTCATCATATAGATAAGAAAATCCTTGGTTACAATGATTCAACCCTAAAATCTGATGAAAGTATGCCTGACCACTGGTTAAATTGTTAATAAAATAGTTTCTCGTCCAAATTAAATTCATGGACATTCATAGATCTTACGAATTTGATGAACAATGTACCTGAAACAAAATATTAAATAAGACGATCAAAGGTATGTACGAGTCTGAATAGCGGCAACGAATATAAAATTAATTACACCATTATAGTTTCAGCCTTTTAGCTAGCCTTTTAAAGATCATAAACATAAAATTTAAAATGAAATTTGAAAGACAACGAATAGCTTAGAAATAAAGAGAAGTTGATGAATAGTTCATGATCTATTACACTAACTATATAATATTAAGAAAACGACAAAGGAAAATAACATAAAAACACACACACAATAAAAAAAAAACAGCAATTCAAATTGGATTAGATTACATCAAGTTATTGTTTTCAGAGACGCTGCTAATTTGCCTCTTAACTCAACAAACTTTTGGTGTTTCTGCTCAAGCTCTTCCATGCTCAAGCCTTCATTTGAAATATTCCACCACCCTCTTTGTGAGTTCTTTTCCTCCTCCTGCACCATCTTTAGCTCCTCAGCGAGATCAGCATATTGTGCAGTGATCTCGGTCATCTTCTTTAAAATCCCAGCTTTACGTTTTAAAAACGTAATATAGTCTTCAACCAATTTCATCTCGATCTTTTGCTTTCCTTCTGTATGTTTCATTGTCACGATTTAGGTTTCTGCTAGGTTTTTTAGGTTTGTGTCTTAATAACCATGGAGGTGCATAGTATATTTATAGGACTTATTCTTGAATTCACACCATAGAGGTTCACCAACCAACCAATATGATAGATATTATTTCATATTTGATATCTTTAAAAAAGGAAACAAAATCTCGTTAAATTATATTATGTTTTTAAATAAAAATAGTAAAAATAAATAAAATAATAATATTTATAAAAACGAAAAAATATTTTAACATTATATTATGTTTGTAAAATAAAAAGATAAAAAATAATACTAACCAATATATTTTGTTCTCATTTTAAAGATATATTAAAAGATTTTTTTTTAAATTTGTTTTCATGCAATTATTACTGTTTTTATTTTATTTTTATCTTTTTATTTTTTAAAAATAATATAATGTTAAAGAATTTTTTTTGTTTTCTTGTAAATATTATTATTTTTATTTATTAGTTGTATTTTTATTTTAAAAACATAATATAGTTTAATAAGATTTTATTTCTTTTTTAAAAAAATATCAAATATGAAAGAACACAATGCATATCTGAGTAATTATTTGACAGCTATTATGTTTTAAAAAGTCTTGAAGTCATATAATGTTCATAACGTCATTATTGGAGAACTAGAGTCAACAAACTAAGATTGTAAAACTGGTAACTGAATTAGCGTAGATCTCTTTCCATTTTACAAAATTGACATTTTAAGATTTTTAATTAGCGTAGATCTCTTTCCATTTCACAAAATTATCAATTATATTTTCAATACAAATTTATAAACAATATTTTTAATTTAAACTTCATTAATTTAATGTATTAATTAGAAAAATGTTGAAACTTATGCAGAAGTCTTAGGCGAGTGAAAAAGATACCTGAGATGGTGCCATGGTGGTAGAATATGCATGTTGTTTTTGTTCGTTCTCTCTCAACGAAGTTCTTAACTGTATATAGCCACTTATATACCTCTAAATCAATTGTTTATGTTCTGCTTTCATTGGCTTGTGACCTTGTGTAGAGAGGCTTCACTGGTTGAAACACATTCACACCGTCTCAAGCGGGTGAGAACTAGATCATTGATATGGGTCGAATCTGCACATGCTCTCCTTGTTTGATATGATAATATGTAGCGGATCCCTTTAATATATATTTGCAGGTTCCTTCAAAAGAGTGAGCAATACAAGCTTTGTTCATCAAAGGAGAGAATTCATTTTACATATATAGCTTGTCTTGTGATGTCTATAACTATGAAGTATTAACTGATGATTATGGCTTGGAAGTTTCAAACCTTTTAATGTTAAATAATACTACAATGGTATTTAATTTGGGTTAAAAGTTTTAGAACTCCCAAGCAGCTTAAACATGTACAGCTTCATTCTTATTTCCATTACAGGACAAACAATGTAGGAGTGATTCTTGCTTACTTTGACTCAACTCAAGTGCTTCTTAGACTTAGCGTAGTACTATGTGCTTATGGATGGATCTATATTATGTTGTTGATTCTAAGTTTCCATTGAAATTATTTTGCCTGATTAGTTGTGATGGTATTTCAGGTTTGGCCTGATCTTTGAAGCATTTCATTAAATAGCAAATACTGCAATGAGGTTTTGTAGGAATCATCATCTCTTCCATCATATTTCTAGAATATTGATTACTTAACCTAACCCTTTTTATAGTTACCACTTTGGTATTCAAATTGCATTCAACTTCATTATCATATGTACATATCTCATCCCCGAAATGTCATGCATGTTTCTAAATAAAAATCAACATAAAACTTCACACACTTATATTTTTCCACCACTGAATAAATTTTAAAATTTTGAAAACCATACAGATAAATTCTAAAACAGTTGAGATAGTAAAATTTTAAATTTGTAATTATTTTTTAAATGAAATCGGGTTATAATTAATTAATCTGTTGACAAATTAATCTAAAAGTAAAAGGCCCATTATGGCAGAAGAAAATGCGGTGAAAGAAGCCCATAAACATAAAAGGGAAAGCCCATTATAGACAGAAGAAGACGCGTCTTCTTTGTTTAGTTCTTCTCCGATCAGCGTGCGTGCGTGCGTGCGTTGTCTTTGGTAAAAAAAAACAGAGCAGAGAAGAAGAGAAGCGAAGAGAGTCAATCAAAGCAATCAATCTGATCGGCGATGGGTTGTTTCAGTTGCATCAGCGGAACGCAAAAGAAACAGCGTAAAGAAGAAGAGAGACAAGCCTCCGCCGAAGCTCGTGCCAGAGCCGCCGAAGCTGCCATGCGACGGTACTCTCTCTCTCTCTCTCTTTTCTCTTCTTCATTTTTTAATTTTCCAGATTTCGAATCGTAATTATTGAGTTTAATTCCTTGAAAATTTCATGTTTTGATTATTAAGACAGAGCTTGTCTGCTTGTGTCTGAAAATTTTGTATGTTTTGTGTGTGAAATGGGCAGAGAAGAAGATTTTAAAAAGTCTGCACATGGAAGAGCTGCACAAGCTCAGTTACAGCAAATGGCTAAACAATCTGCTAATACTAATAAAGGAGAGCCTGTTCTTAAGGTCTTGTTTCTTCCTCTATTATCTATTTATTATCAAGTTTTTTTTTGTATGCTTATTAGCTTAATCTTTGTTTTGAATTTGAATTGCAGTGGCAAATGACGTAGTGATTGAACCAGCTATGTATGACTTGTGTGCTTCTTTAAGGTTTGCTATAATTTCAAATGTGAATGACAGTCCTATTTATCTTTTGAATTTACAAAGAAAAACAAAAGAAAAAAACAGAGCAACAAGTTTGTATATGTATAGTAGTAATAAATGTTAGAGAACAACTCTCTGCCTAATTGTGAGCTTTGGAACTTACAATAAACTGTGCATTCTTCATTTAAAGATTTAGTTCATAGGCTTGAGCCTCAGATTGATTTGTGCATTTGTGTTAATCTCTAAGACGTTTTTGAGTTCATGAATGAATAATCCTCTTCATACCTCTAGGAGAAGTCTGCATATAACAGACCATAGACAGAGATAGACAAAAACCATTTCAGCTTTTCAGGTTAAAACTTGTTACCTCAGATTGAGCCAATACTCTTATATTGCATTTACTTGGTTGTTTCTCTAAGAAACTTGTATACAGTAGTTAGACAAAACAGAAGAGATGATAGATCCGATCAAGGTGTCTGATTTAGTTAAGACACAAGTCTAGTTAAAGACAAAAAGATGTACAAAAGCTATATGCTTCAGGAGTAGATTCAATCTTTACATGACAAAAAAAATAGTATCAGGTTCTATCCCGCAACTCCTATTCCGTTAAGCTTGACTCTCCTGAAACTTCCCTCCCCCTCAGAAACTTATGGCACATCACAGTACCAACAAAATCAAGCATCCCATGTTTCACAAACTCCAACCTCTCCCAACTCTCCATCACCTTGAACCCAAACCCTTGAGACCAAGTACTCACAACATCTCTAGCAGCAGGCAAGACCAATCTACGAACTCCCATTTTAAACATCTGCTTCTCCAACTCATCCATAAGCACTCTACACATCCCACTTCTCCTGTAGTTAAACAATGTCGCCACCAAAGGGATCTCAGCTACATCTTTATCAACTCTCACTGCAGCCACAGTAACAGGGTCATTCCCCCTCTCGATCAAAACCGTGTAAAACCCACGACCCACACCATCTGCGTCCTTCCTGTATATCAACTCCTCAACGAGATCTCTCCCAGAGAAAGGATCCGTTGAAGGCTCAAAACCTTGGTGAAGTATCTCAACAGCAGAGTCTAGCTTAGACATTTGTTCATCATCGTAATGTTCATCGTCATTAGGAGCTCTAATCAAACTCCAAACCAAACCCTCTTCCCCTACCACAATCTTACGTCCTAAAAGACTCTGAAGCGATGAATACACTCTACTGCATTGCTTACTACAGAACCATCCTCTAAACGAAACAAGACAAGTCCCTTCTTTCAAACACTTTAGATGAAACCTTCTTTGACACTGCTCACAAGTCATCAACTTGCTGTTACCCAACGTTACCATTGATCCACAGATATCACAGCAGCAACAAGGACAGAACCAGAGCTCTTCCTCTGGAAGATTCGGTAACCCAATGCAAGTATGGTGAAATGCTGAAGGACAACCATCGCATAGAAGCAAGTCTCCACCGTAATGACAAACACAACACACGTCACAGTTCTTCTCTGGACCACAGTCTTTCCTCCAGAATCTTATAGACTCCTTTTCACACTTTTTGTTCTTCTTCTCCATCACTTGTAAGACCTTCCTCAACGACTTCTCATACCTGGGCCTTACATCAACATTAGCAGCCACTCTCTTCTTCTCTTGTTGGTTTATTACATCAGATAAAGGATTAAACGCAGCCGTTTCACAGTCATTCACTCTCTTTCTCTTCAAAACATCAACATTTAGAATGAGTTTGTTCACTATAGACAAACCATTCTTCTCTTCTTTAGTAGCTACTTCATTAAACGCTGCCGTTTCACAATACTTCACTCTCTTCCTCTTCTTCAACACATCAACACTGACAACAGTCTTGCTCAAATTAAACGCTGTCGTTTCACAATCATTCCCTCTTTTCCTCCTCTTCAACACATCAACATTGTCAAGTCCTTTAGTCCCATTAAACGCTGCCGTTTCACAATCCTCAACTCTCTTCATCCTCTTCTTCCCCTTAAACGCTGCCGTTTCACAATTCTTCACTCTCTTCTTCCTCTTCTTCCCACTAAACGCAGCCGTTTCACAATCCTTCACTCTCTTCCCCCTCTTCTTCTTCACATTATCATCCCCAACCGTTTCGATCGCAACTAAAGCGAGATTCCTCGGAGATTCAGATTCGAGAACGATTATCTCTTCTTCTTCATTGACACAGCTCGAACAAGCCGTAGCCAAAGAGTAAAACCACTTCCCCTCCGGAGACTTATACCGAAGCTCTCGTCTCTTATTCTTCTTAAAGTAAGCGAAGAGCCAACCTAGAGAGGAGAGGTGCTTCTTCGCCATCGTGGAGATATCTGAACGTCGTGTTCGCGTCGTCTTTCCGTTTTCGACGACGGAGAGCCATTGCTGGAGTGAGTCTGGGTTTGATTCGGGCTCTACGGTGACGAAATCGCAGGAATCGTTGTGAGTATTCATCATCATCGTCGTGGAAGAAGAAGGAGGAGAGAGTCGTCAGCGTTAATACTATTTAGGTTTTTCTTTTGTTTTCTGATGAGTCTATTCTCCGAGTAAGGGCTTTTAGAGGGTTTAATTTTTACTTATTTTCCTTTTTTCCACTTGAGATAATTAACGATTTTGACGTGTTTAGACCTTTAATTTAAAGGGAAATTTTTGTTTTTTTAGTAAGTTAAATGGAAATTTCTACTGAGATTTTTTTAAAATGTTTGGTTTTTCTCTTTAAAACCAAAATAAAATAGTTTTTTTTTCTCTTAGAAATGCAAATTAGTTTTATTGTTTATTGATAATGCAGACGAAGAAGGAGGTTAGAGAGTTGAGAAAAAAAAATTGGTTAGGTGAGTGTTAATGTAAATACATGAGCTAAAGTGCTTGTGGAATACCAACAGCCATAGATCAAATCATTACTATATGTCAATCAAAATGTAGAAACATATAGTATTAAGAGCTTGGTTACTTAAATCTACATGTATTTATCGCATAATCCACTATTTTCAATACGTTAAACACTACTAAACCCTAAGTAACACTTACCAACTTACATGTTCTTGATTTTGTGTTTTCTCTTGCATCTATCATTCTTGTCGTCTCTTTTTTTTTTTTTGTTCAACTTCATGAAATCTCTCATATATGTACTCACTACTCAGTCATGCATAAACATTATTAATGTGTTATTTACTCATTGTGATCTCTCACAATGTGTTATGTCTATTATTCCTTCAGTCAAGTGATAAATATAAAATAGTAGTATAGTTTTTAGAATGCCATTGCCTCGTCTCTATAATCAAATCTCCATTGGAGATACTCTTCCACATGACTACATATATATGGTTTCTCTCTCTCTTAGCAAGCTTAAACAATAAACTCATAATGGGCTTTTCTATTTGTCGGCCCAATAATAGTTGTATCCAATTTGTAAACCCATTAAAACATCTCTCCTTCCTCATTTCGCCGGCGACAGACACTCTCCCTGTGTTTGAAACCAATCAGGTGGAAAAATGTCATTAGATCTCTCTCGTCTCTCACTCCTCTACTCTCCTCGTCTCTCCTTCTCCACTCACACTGCTACTAAAAAAGGTACAAACTTTATGAGATTATTCAAACTTTATACTCAAACCAAATTCAAAAGTTTCGTTTTTTTTTGGACAGGAGACGTTGTTAGGTGTGCCATGAAGTCGTATAGATTATCTGAACTTAGTTTCTCTCAAGTTGAAAACTTGAAGTCACGTCCTCGCATTGACTTCTCTTCCATTTTCACCACTGTAAGCTTTCCTTCATTGAGAATTGCTACACTTCTCTCTTTATTATACTTATGAAATGAGCTCTCTCTTTCTTCAGGTTAACCCAATCATTGACGCGGTTCGTAGCAAAGGAGACGTTGCTGTTAAAGAGTATGTGACTGATTCTTTATTTTTTATATGCAATGTTTAAGAAATAGCAATGCTGTTGTTAGGCATAGACCAGTTTTTAGAACACTGATTAGATGGAAACCAATTTTAAACTTGCTTCTGGTTCAGATATACTGAAAGATTTGACAAAGTCCAGCTCAGTAAAGTGGTGGAAGATGTGTCTGAGCTTCCTATTCCTGAGGTAGTAGATTAACACAACATTTGAGAGGGTCTTTCATGTGTGTAGTAAATGAGGTTCCTTTCTGTTTTTTTTTTTTGTGTATTTAGCTTGACTCTAAAGTTAAAGAAGCGTTTGATGTTGCGTATGAGAATATATATGCATTTCACTTGGCGCAAAAGTCTACGGAGAAAAGCGTTGAGAATATGAAAGTAAGTCTACTGAATTCACCTGTTAGCTACTTTAGTCTTTTTAAGCTAAGTGTTCACTCGTTTTTTCTTTTTCTTTTTTTTGTAGGGTGTAAGATGTAAAAGGGTGTCGAGATCTATTGGGTCTGTAGGTCTTTATGTGCCTGGTGGAACAGCTGTTTTGCCATCTACTGCTTTGATGCTTGCTATTGTAAGCTATCTTCTGTTTAATACTTTTTGCCTTTTTTTTTTTTCTTATTCTTCTTGTAGTTGTGAAATAATTTAGTATTTCTTTGAATATATTACTCTCTCAGCCTGCTCAGATTGCTGGATGTAAAACAGTTGTCCTCGCAACTCCACCAACTAAGGAGGGAAGCATATGTGAGGTAGCACTCTAGCTATTACTCAAGTTTTTTCTATCTTAGCTGCTGTGCTGATGGGGTTGGTATGCTGTTGTTGCAGGAGGTGTTGTATTGTGCTAAGAGGGCTGGTGTAACTCACATACTTAAAGCTGGTGGAGCGCAGGTGTGTGCTGTGTTAGTCTTCTCACGTATTATTTTTCACGCTGGCCATCTATTTTTATTTGTAAGATATTTGAATTTTTCCATTTTGCCTTTGCAGGCTATAGCTGCCATGGCCTGGGGGACTGATTCTTGTCCTAAGGTATAAATGTGGTTTCTAACATGCCTCAGTAGCTTATATTAGACAATTTTCCAGCCAACTAAACATGAATTTTCTTTGGTTATTATGGCAGGTTGAGAAGATTTTTGGTCCTGGGAATCAGTACGTTACAGCTGCTAAGATGATTCTTCAAGTACAGATACCGTTCCTCTATTACTTTTTGGTTCTAACTTGTTTATGAGTCCTACTAGATCGAAGTTTACCTCTCATTTTGTTTCTGTTTTTCTTACTTCAGAACAGCGAGGCAATGGTTTCGATTGATATGCCTGCTGGCCCTTCAGAAGTTCTAGTCATCGCTGATGAACATGCTAATCCAGTTTACATTGCAGCAGACTTGCTTTCTCAGGTAGTCATCTCTCACTGGCCATAAAAATAAAGCTATTATCTCTCTTTCAGTATAGCAGATTTTCAGTTTAACGCATGAGGATGACTTGTGCTGTGTCTTCCTTACTACTTTGTCCTTACCGAATCTACTAACTTACACGTTTTTTTGTTGGTTTCTCTGCAGGCTGAGCATGGTCCAGATAGTCAAGTAGTTCTTGTTGTTGTAGGCGATGGTGTAAACCTCAAAGCCATCGAAGAAGAAATTGCCAAACAATGCAAAAGCCTTCCTAGAGGAGAGTTTGCTTCAAAAGCATTAAGTCACAGCTTCACAGTATTCGCTCGAGATATGATCGAGGTACTCTCTCTACTGTCACACTTGCTCTTGCTATCCAAAACCAACTCAGTTTCTTAATCTTTCAGGCAATAACTTTCTCAAACCTCTATGCACCTGAACATTTGATCATCAATGTCAAAGACGCTGAGAAATGGGAGGGATTGATAGAGAACGCAGGTTCGGTTTTCGTAGGGCCTTGGACACCAGAGAGTGTTGGTGATTACGCTAGTGGCACAAACCACGTTCTTCCAACATATGGATATGCTAGAATGTACAGTGGTGTCTCTCTCGACTCTTTCTTGAAGTTCATGACTGTACAGTCCTTAACAGAGGAAGGTCTGAGAAACCTTGGTCCGTATGTGGCGACTATGGCTGAGATTGAAGGTTTGGATGCACACAAGAGAGCTGTCACGCTTAGACTCAAGGATATTGAAGCTAAACAGACTTCTCAAACAAAGTGAATGAGAATGCCAAAGGAGGCAAGATTGGTGTCCTTAAGATTGTTTGATGATATAAGTAAAGAGATGTAACACTCTCTTATCATAATTTGGATTGGTTTCTTTACAAATGACAGAGACTTTCAAGTTTATACAGTAAGCTTTATGAACAATGAAAGAAAAAAGTCGTAAAAGAATGATTTTGTTGATCAGTTTCTTGTAAAATCTGACTTCCTCCGGAAAAGATCAACCTGATAGTTTTTTATTTATTTGATAAAACAACTGATAGTTGATTTACTTGTAGTCCGTTGTTTGGCCTTTTCAAGTCATTTTTTCCTTTATTGCAGAAAATCAACAAGGCAAGAAGGAGAGGTTGAAGATCAATCGGTTTTTCTTAGCAATGTAAGAATGCTTGTGTGTCTGCTTCTGGTTTTTGAATTTGTGAATAGATATGACTTGACTCTGTTGATAATCTTGGATATTATTATAAGTACTAAAGGTATATTCGTTGAATTGTTCATTGTTTAATAGGTTGGATCAGAAGAAGCGTCTTTGAATAACCAAGACACTTTTTGTGTAGAATAAATGCGTTTTAGTCATCCTGTGAAGGTAGCATGGTTAAGTCTTTAGATGTTGATCCTTCTGATTCATGGCTTAAGGTCTCCTTCTGTAAATTGTCTTATCAAAGCTAAATGTGCTAGAAATGGATTCATTGATGCTAAAATTTGTTGGTTCAGCTGAAGCGAGATTATGTAGATGGATTAGGTGTGTGACACATTGGATTTAGCTTCCTAGAGGTGCTTGGGAGAAAAGCGGGATGGTAATAAAACATTTTTCTTGACTTTCTCGTTTTCCTATAAATTAAAAATTGTCTAACAGCCTTTGTATCTTTGAAGCTGAATAATACCAAACATAAGTTCTGAACTTTTCGTTTGTATGTGTAGGTATAGTCCATTCCTCATGGTCTGCCGTGTCATGTCTGGGTTTTCTGATGCCTTTTACATCGTGGTAAGGTAATTAATAACTCCAACATCACTTTCACACTTCTCCACCAATCCATCTATGAATTATATGATTTTAACATTGTGGCTAAGTGTACACATTCCAGTTTATGGTTTGGTTAGTCAAGGGTTTCGGTTTTTATTTGATTTATATAAGCTACCGGTTATCCAATTTAGTGGTTTAATATATCAGAAACAAACTATGAGTTTTAGTGTTACTGTATATTGAATCTAGTGGTGTGTCGTTTTTGAAGAAGTTATTTGTAAGAAAAAAAAAGTTTTTCATGAGTTTATTTTGGTGGGGTCTCTAATTTTATGATAGATTTAATATATTAATAAAGATTCATTTAAAGTTCTTGAGGAATTTACTTTATACAACATGAATCTAATTACAATATATATAAATCGAAACCTTAGCATCAGGCAATGGATAGGTAAGACAAATATTTTCTTATATATATTTATTTTACATTTTTAATATAAGGGATTTGCCCTGGATTTTGAAATCTCAGTTATAAAAACTAGCTTGCAGTAAAAAGCTTGATGCGACAGCAAAGTTACCGTTGGAGCAAAGGAAAAAATAAATAAAAAATAGAGTTTAATTTGGACCGGTTAAAAGAAGACCGTTGCTTTGATGTCTTAATGAACTCTTTCTCTCAGCTATCTATCTATAAATAAAGAGTTCCTCTTACAGAACTTTTAATCTCTTCTTGTCTCTCTCAGCTACTTCTCGACGACAACGACACATTGGATGATGTTGCGTCTTCAAGGTGTGTTCTTTCTCCGATATATTCGTTCTTTCTCTGCTTACTAGTGGTTTTTTTGTAATCTAATAATTGTTTGTTTGTTTTTTTAGATTGTGGAGAGCAGCACACTTGGTTAGATCGGACGGTGCCTTGATCATTCTCCACTCATTTATCAGGTGTTCTTATTACCAAAATCCTGTTGTTTACCTTCTTCGGTTTTGAAATGTTTTTTTTCTTTGGTTTTGAAGGGGAAATTTTATAAAAACATGATTAGATCGTGAGGAAACTTGTGTGTAAATTTGTGAGATAACATTTTGAGCAGAATATGTCCCCTACTGTTGTTGACGAGTCCGTTAGAGTTAGTATGTTTATTTGTTTCTAACACTTATGATATCACTAAGCCTACTCCAAATCGGTCTTGTGATTTACAACTTGATTTGATCGTGAGGAAACTTGTATGTGTACATTTGTGATGGACATTTGAGCAGATATCCTGTCTCATGAGATGGTTAGATGTAAAAGTATGTTTCATTTGTTTTGAACACTTATGATCACTGAGCCTACTCCAAATCAGTCTTGCAATTATAAAATTTCCCCTGTTTTCTTTCTTTTGTTTCTTCTGGTTTTTGTTTTTCGTTTTTGTTTTTAGCTTGCATCGTTGGCCTATTTGTTTGTTCAATGTGATCGATCTACTTGTCGTATTTGTTGTTTCAGATGCTGTGGTGGATGGCGCTTGCTTTGCTCGATAATGGGGCTGTTTTGGGTTTTGATCCTTCTTTGTAGGCGGCTTCGCTGTTGATCTTGTAAGTGAGAATGTTGATCATGTTATTTGTCACCTCTCTTCTCTCTCTCTCTCTCTCTCTGTTTGTTTGTGTTATTTCTTCTGATTGTTGTTGTTGGTCTATTATAGCTCAGATACGGTGGGACTATACAGTGTGGCTTTTGATGGTTGAAGCTGGCTAGCTCAGATAAGGACTATTCAGTGTGGCTATGTTATGATGTTTGACTTCTCTGAACCAAGAGGCAAGAAGAAGATAGTGCCTTTTTTGTCTTAACTCTGTGTTACAGACAGTAATATCATGTATAGTTTAGTCAGTATCATCTTAGTATTAAGGTGGTTGTGTATCTGTTTTGTAATTTGGTTGTGGAAGGTTTGCCATCAACATCCAAACATATAAAGTTGTTTAAAGTTGCAAGTTGTTCCAGCGAGTGTTGAAGCCACAAATGGATAAAGTTTCATTGATGTATTGTTGTATCATTGTTTTTGAATTCAAGTTTTCCTTCTAATAGACAGTTCTAAGTGATATTGAGTTAAAAAAAAAGTCTCAGACAGATCTCATTCATCATTCTCTCTTTAAAACTAAAGGCTTATCTCAGAATACTTTGTTTAAGAGACTCTCTAACCAAAGAACAAGATTCTAAACACCCTTTCTTGTACTCCACGTAATCGATTCTTAAGACCTCTTAAGCTTTACTTGATTCTTCATTCGGCGAAACTCGCTTGACTTGAACTTTCGTTCCCTTTTCTGTTTTCATAGGTCCCGTGGACGCCAGAGAGCGTTGGTGATATAAATAAAAGAGATGTAACACTCTTTGGCATAATCTGGATTCGTTTCTTTACAAATGACAGAGACTATACAGTAAGCTCCAAGAACATTAAAGAAAAAAGTGCTACAAGAATGATAAAATCGAACCGATCTAAATCGTTTTAATTTTATTATTACAGACCATACTGAAAATCATCGAGACATAACCGGAATAAATTTGTTTACACTAATTTGGTTCATGTTTATATCAAAACCAGAATAAACCAGGTTTGACCATAATAAATCAAAACGCTAGAAGCTTTTCTTTTTCTCTCTCAAACTCTTGTAAAACGCATGTTCAGCGATAGCGTGTGGTGCGGTAGAAGCTTTTAGTTTTACAAGAACGCGTGATGCGGCGATAGCGTGTGAACGCAAAACAAAAACGCTGTTTTTAGCTTCCGGACTAATATCGGTTAGCTACTAAACCGGTCGGTTTAGGCTCACGAGCTTCATTTAATTTATAGAGTAAACATAATGAGGAAACGAATCCAAAAGACAGCCGAGACAGATCCTGAATCTCGACGACAGAGCTGTCTGAAGAGAAGAGAAAGCTAAGTAATCTATCTAGCTCCAAAGATCGGAGCTTGCAAAATTCTGAATCCTCTCCACATCTAAACCACGGTGAATTTCACTTTATTTTGGAATTTAATTTCGATAATTCAGTTACGTGGCATGATTAGATTCTGAGCTATTAATGTTCTGATTAATTCATAGATGTTACGATTTAAAAAGATTCGATTTTGATGCTCTTATGAATAGTTTCTGCTTGTTTTGTGATTGTTACTTCTTGTTGAAGTCTTTGGCTTTGGTTTACTTGTGTTTGGTTTCTTATTTTCACATTGGTCTCTTTTGGCTTGTGCTTATAGTTATAATTACTTGGCATGGTTAGATTCTGAGCTATTAATGTTCTGATTAATTCATATATGTAACGATATAAAGATTCGATTTTGATGCTCTTTATGGATGGTTTCTGCTTGTTTTGTAATTTTAACTTCTTGATTAAAGTCTTGGTCTTTTAATCCTCTCAAGACTTTACTTATGTTATGAAAAGCTGTGTTTGGTTTCTCTTTGTGTGTACAGTTATTTCCAATGGAACCTTCTCCACCATCTCCTATTACATGGCCAGATGGAGGAACTCTCACTAATGAATGGGTCCATACCCTTATGTCCTCTCTCGAATGGTCTTCATGGCATCTCCAACCTTCTCAGTTACCTACAGTGATGCCTGTCAACGTCTTTGACTCACTCATCCTCACCGCTTCCAAAATCCTCCACAAAGAACGTAACATTGTCCATGTCGATGATCTTGAGTCAGATTCCAAAGTTGTTGTTGTTGGTGACGTTCATGGTCAGCTTCATGACCTTCTCTTCTTATTGAAAGACGCTGGCTTTCCATCTCAAAACCAGTTTTATGTCTTCAACGGTGATTATGTTGATCGTGGTGCTTGGGGGTTAGAGACTTTTCTTGTTCTCTTGTCCTGGAAGGTAAACAACTCTTAGTTAACGGTACCCTTATGCTTTGTGTTTGAAACCATGGTTCTTAAAATTGGTCTAGGCCTAGGTGACTATGTTATAAGACTCCATTTGGTTTATACCATTTTGTAGAGAACTTAGCTAACAATGTTGACTATGTTATACAACTCAATTCGGTTTAAAATAGTCTAATTTGTTAAATTAATTAATAATATCAGTACAAAATCCACAAATCCATCTATTTCCTTTGTTTTGTTATCTAATTTGGATAATTCATGAAAATATTTTATAAATAAACCCAAAAACTAAAATATTCATATAAATGTAAAATGTATGTATATATAGTATAAATTAAAATAATCTGTCTAGTAGTTAGTTCTCTACAAAATACAGCCTAATGATTTCTTGAACATTGGTTGAAACTAATATCTTTTTGGATGTTTAGGTACTGATGCCTGACAGAGTCTTCCTTCTCCGTGGCAACCATGAATCCAAATACTGTACATCAATGTACGGTTTCGAGAAGGAAGTGCTTACAAAATACGGTGACAAGGGAAAACATGTGTACCGTAAATGTTTAGGTTGCTTTGAAGCGCTTCCTTTGGCTTCCATAATTGCAGGACGTGTTTACACAGCACATGGAGGACTTTTCCGTAGCCCGGTCTTGCCTAAGAGAACAAGGGGTAAAAAGAACCGTAAGGTGCGGCTTCTAGAGCCTGAAACTAGCTCGTTGAAACTGGGAAGTTTGGAAGAGTTGATGCAAGCTAGAAGATCAGTTCTTGATCCTCCTTGGGAAGGTTCTAACTTGATCCCTGGAGATGTTTTGTGGTCTGATCCTTCAATGAGTCCTGGACTTTCGCCTAATGAACAGAGAGGCATTGGTCTTCTTTGGGGTCCTGATTGTACAGAGGAGTTTTTGAAGAAGTATGAACTTAAGGTATTACCAATACATAAACGATACTTGCTTGCCTTTGAACAGTCTAATAAATGATCAAGTGTAAAATTGATGCAGTTAATCATAAGGTCACATGAAGGTCCAGATGCTAGAGAGAAGAGAGATGGCCTAGGTGGAATGGACTTAGGATATACAATAGATCACAATGTTGAATCTGGAAAGCTTATCACTATCTTCAGTGCTCCAGACTATCCACAGTTCCAGGTATTGTTCTCTAATGTAATGTGACTGACACAAGAAGATTGATGCTAATCAATTTTTTTTTATATTGTTGTTGTTGTTGTTGTTGTGATACAGGCAACGACAGATAGGTATAGAAACAAAGGAGCTTATATAATATTGCAGGCTCCTGACTTCTCTGATCCTCAGTTTAAAAGTTTTGAAGCCGTTACTCCACGACCAAAGGTAAGTGCTTCTTCACCATTCTTGTAATGAACAACTTGCTTTCTTGTTTCATCTCACATTAGTTCTTTTAAACGTGCAGTCGAATCCGTTTTATGACTTTGAAAACGTGATTGATTCTGATGATGAGATGGATAAGTCTGCATTGGACACCAACGAGGAACAACAAGCAAATCACTGATGCGGATCTTGAAAATAGCTAAAAAAGGCGAGAATCTTGTAATGAAGTTTTTACAGTCTTTTTTTTATTATGATTGATCATCACTTTACAAAGAAAAAATGGAAACAAGTGTAAATCGATTCTGATTAAAGTTGAGACCGTTTGTTGAATTTAATATTCTATTATGGATTCAGTATTTCATGGCGCAGAAGCTTTTTCTTTTGGACATTTGATCTTTTTGTGTAGGTTTTTGATTGATATGAGATGTCAATTAATAATTGCACAGCTGATATATTGGTAAGGATGCCTCACAGAACATGGCTATTGATGGGACTGCAGACATTCACTGGAGTAAACATGGTTTTGGTGCAGACCAGTACTCCAGTTTATGACTTTGTCTGCTTCTTGCCTTACTGGGAGAGACGGGTATGTTTGTCATAACTTAACTTGAATACATATTCTTCATATAGTGCTAGCGGTAATATATTTTGCTCTGACAAACAATCTTGCTTTTATTGGGGTTTAGCTTAAATCTTGATCTATAGAGATCAAACTATCATTCACATTTGTAGATGATTCTTGACTCTGTGTAGAATTGCTTTAGCTTTAGCTGAATGCTGATTGAATATGTGTGCTTCTTTTGAAAGATAGTAATAAGATGTGGTTTGTGGTAGCTAACTTATGGTTTCTTAGAGCTGCTTAGTGCACTTTGAAGCATTATACTGCAACTGCAGTTTAGCCTTTTATAGATTTCTCTTGACTGCAAAATTTATAATGATCATTTCTTTTGTCTATAGAGAGAATGAACCCAGCAACTACTCCTCGAGCATCTGCTGGGTGATTCTCTACAGGTCATAGGCATCAACAGTGGTAAAGCTTAAAGATAAACTGACCTGTGATACAAAAATTCACATGATCTTCCCTTATCACCACTTCTCAACACCGATATAAATATGGTTAGACATTTTGCAAACCTGAATTGTTATCTTAACTCGACCCTTCTATCTTAGTACAATTGTGCTATATATATACATTGAAGCATTTAAGCTTTGAATTGACTTGCCAAATGATAAGTCCAAGTAGAAAGTGGTTAGACCTATCTGAGAGTGAAAGACTCAAACCAACCCATGTGGGTGTTAGGTTTTTATTTTTTACTGTGTACTTTGTTTCCACATACTTCGACATGTACCCACCTCAATGTTTTTTCATGTGCACAAAGCTAGATTCTTAACAATAATAGTTAAAAGAGTCCTCCATGTCAAGCCTATATTATTATAAGGTGTCTTATCTTGTCTCTCTTTTTTTTTCTTGACAATCTTATCTTGTCTCTCTTATAAACTGTAAGTCACATGCCTTGAATTGTAGGTACTTCCAGTGATTTTCACACATAGTATTCACTTTTCCATGAATCATTACTATGTTTATTCAAAAAATTAATGCAACAAAAATAGTTGTGATTTTGTGTGATGCTGTTACAACAAATGTCTCAAGAAGAGACTGTTTATTGCTCTAGAAGTTTGTCAGGTTGACTTTAATGCCAAATTAGGACAATACCTATGAATCATTGATGTATTAGGCAAATGCAATAATGCCTTCATTCATTTCATTTTCCTAACTCTCTTTACCTAATTTCCTAACTAGAGATGTGACAGCTATTCACTGGCAAGCATATAATGTTGGTTTTTTTTATTTTAACCTTTTGTTTGATGAATGCAATGCATGTTCAATGAAACATTTTCTTGTATTTTCTTTCTGTTTAATAAAAGAAAACATGAATGGAGAAGAAAGATATTTAATGTGAAGAGGTATAAATGAAATTATGGAATGGTCAATTAAGGTTAAAAACTTACCGGTGAGGTCCATATTTGGAATATTTATGTGAGGAGGGACCGCTCTGTAATTAAAGCCTAGTACTTTCTTCACCTCCCTCATCCATGCAACACGACACTTTATTATTTTACCGTGCGGTTATAACAAGCTGTGGGCCTGGACTGGGCCTTCTATCAATCTCATTAAATATAAGTTTATTTACCATCTCACTGTAAAAAAAAAGTACGATCAGTAATATTTAGCGCCTTTATTACTCTCTCTCTTACGGATAGTGCCATAGTGGAAGAGAAGATTCAAAAAAAAATTCCTAATTTATCACAAAATAGAAATTTCATACTTTTTTTTTGAATAAAAACAAATTTTGAAATTAGATTTCTCCAGACCTAAAAAAATATCTTCTCCTCAGAGAGAGAGAGACTGTGATCGATGGCGGAGGAGGAGATTGTGGCCGTTGAAGTCGTTACAGCTCCGCCTCGTAAGGTTCTACTCATATCCGCCGGTGCTAGTCACTCCGTCGCTCTACTCAGTACGTACTCTCACTCTGTTGTGTATCCGTTACGGAGATAGATTATCATCGGAACTGTAGAATCGCCGTTTTAATGGCTCTAAGAGGAAGCTAGGTTTTGAATAGTTTGATTGATTGGTTTAGATTTTGATTTTTGGTAGCTGGAGATATTGTTTGCTCATGGGGAAGAGGAGAGGATGGACAGTTAGGTCATGGTGATGCAGAGGATCGGCCTTCTCCTACGCAGCTAAGCGCCTTGGATGATCATCAAATCGTTTCGGTTACATGTGGTGCCGACCACACTGTTGCGTATTCACAATCACGCATGGAGGTCTACAGCTGGGGATGGTATGCTTCTCATAAACATCTTTCACCATTTTAGAGATTTGAAGTATTTGGAAGGAGATGATGATCACTAGTTTCCTCTCTGGATTTTGTTTTGAGAACAGTAACTTAATGCATTCATTGGCACTGACTTATAAGCCTGGCTTTGATTCTCTTCATCCATGTGGTTTTTTGCAGGGGTGATTTTGGGAGATTGGGACATGGGAACTCTAGTGACTTGTTTACTCCGTTGCCAATCAAAGCATTGCACGGTGTTCGGATAAAGCAGATTGCTTGTGGGGATAGTCATTGTTTGGCTGTGACTATGGAAGGAGAGGTGCAGAGGTATTTTACTCTTTTACATATTCTTCTTATCCTTATGTGAAATCAGTCAACAATCACAGTTTAATAGTCATTTGTCAAATGCTTTTCATCCGAGTTTGATAATGTCGATAGTTTCGAGTGTAGTTTTATTTTTTTTTGTTTTCGTGTACATCCTGTCTTGTTTTTTGATATATCACTTTTGAATTTTCTGTATATAAAGCTGGGGGCGTAACCAGAATGGTCAACTTGGGCTTGGGGACACAGAAGATTCTCTAGTGCCTCGGAAGATTCAAGCCTTTGAGGTTTGTTCCACCATATATCTTTCTAACATCTTACTGTTAAACATTTGTTTTCATTATAGCTTCCTAAACTCACCAAAGACACTGTGCTTCCGAATTGGGTCAATGTATTGTTGGGTCCATTTACGCAACTTGCTCTTCTTACTAGTTAAGGGTCCACATTTAAGTAACCGTATGTATGATTTGTAACTAATAGATTTGGGGGTCTAAAAATAGCTATTGATAATTGCTCTGACAGGTAAAAATTAGAAGATTTTAGTGGTCGGAGACTGTGTAAGTTTTTATGTAATTTGCTAGCTTAATCCCCAGTGTTACATCAACACTTTCAAATTGTAATGGGTGCAGGGAATACGAATCAAAATGGTTGCTGCGGGTGCAGAACACACTGCTGCAGTTACAGAAGATGGTGATCTTTACGGATGGGGATGGGGAAGATATGGAAATTTGGGATTAGGTGACCGGAATGACCGCTTGGTTCCTGAAAGGGTTACCTCTGCTGGTGTAAGCTATCAGACTCTTCTCCTAGAACTATTATAAACTCCTGCTACTTGTTTAAACTTGCGTTTATACATGGAATCAATCGAAGATAGTTCAATGAGCATTTCTTGATTATATTTGCTGCACTGTGCCGATTTAGCTGTAAATATTGATGGAGACACTTGATGAGTGTCAGGTAAGGGACCATAAAACCTTTTAGGAATGTAATCAAAGACAACTTGTTTTTTTTTTTTTGTATTGTTAGGCCTTGGGTATCCTGGTCCTGAATAGCAGTTAATGGATCATTGGTGTCATGTATGCTCGCCTTTTAAGTTGATACTTTTTAGTTTATTTCGGCTCTAGTGATTCTTTTTTTCTTGGTTGTGGGAATTACAATTGTAGGCTGAGAAGATGTCAATGGTTGCTTGTGGATGGCGGCACACAATATCAGTTTCGTACTCTGGAGCACTATATACTTACGGATGGAGCAAATATGGGCAGCTAGGACATGGTGACTTGGAGGATCACCTTGTTCCTCACAAACTGGAAGCGCTGAGCAGCAGCGTTATCTCCCAGGTGGCAGTTATTTCCTGCTGAAGAAGACTGTTCTCATTGTATGTCTGCTGATTGTGTTTTTTTTGACTCAGCATCTGGACTTCTTTTTTTGTTATTTTTCCAGATTTCTGGAGGTTGGAGACATACAATGGCATTGACTTCTGATGGAAAACTATATGGCTGGGGTTGGAATAAGGTCAAGAATGTCTTACCTTTTGTCTTTACCTTGACCGTGTTTTTTATTAGCCTACAAGACTTGTTAGCAAGACATGCAATCCATACATTTGTGTTACATTAGTAACTCACCTTGAATAAGACGAGCTTCTAATTTCCAGTCTTTTTTAGCATGCAGTTCGGACAAGTAGGAGTGGGCAATAATTTAGATCAGTGTTCTCCTGTGCAAGTGCGATTTCCCGACGATCAGGCATGTTAATATCTTAAGCAGACAGATTTTCACTCTTCGCCAGCTGTATAATCATATATTAATCAGCTCATGTCTCAATTTTGTTGCTTTTCTTATCTTTGTGGGAAAATTCACAGAAAGTAGTACAAGTCTCATGTGGATGGAGACATACCTTGGCTGTGACTGAAAGAAACAATGTGTTTGCTTGGGGCAGAGGTACAAATGGACAGCTAGGCATTGGAGAGTCCCTTGACAGGTAAAAGTTGTCATCAATCTAGACGCTCATAGATCTATGTTTTCAATTGCATATATTTTTGTTTCATGAATAGAGCGCGGCTTCCACTAAACCCACTGCTTTACATTCAGTACTCATAAGTCATAACTGATAATGTGAAATGGATGTTTTGGTTTTCTGTCTTTATAGGAATTCTCCCAAGATTATAGAAGCACTGAGCGTGGATGGAGCAAGTGGACAACATATAGAATCTTCTAACTTTGATCCATCTTCAGGTTAAAAAAAAGGAAACACACACACTTTTTAAAACTTTTCTTTAAATAGCACAGAGTGAGCTAATAACTCAAGTTTCTTCTCCATTGCCTTGTTGTAGGGAAAAGCTGGGTGTCACCGTCAGAGAGATATGCAGTTGTTCCTGATGAAACTCTAAATGGTTCAAAAGAAGGCAATGGTGGTGATATCAGTGTACCACAAACTGATTTTAAGCGTGTAAGAGTTTGAGTTGAGACAGTTCCTTTTGTCCTTTTTGTGTTGGTTTGGTCTCTCGGTAAGGTTTTATCAGTCTCATCTCTTTTGGGTTTAAGGTTTGTTTGGACTAAGTACGTTTGTCAAACTTTGGTATTGGCTTTTTGTATTTTGTAAACTTCCACTCTGTAGTCTGTTTATTTCACCAAGTAATCAAAGAAGAAATAAGGAACAAAGCATGCAAGAAACTATGCATTATGAAAACGCATGCAATTTTATTAACCATGAAACCATGCACTATAAAATTATCAAAAATAGTGGTTCTCCACATACCTACATACACATATACAATATATATTTATAACATATAGAAGTTTAGAACTCTAAAGGGTAAAACCCTGAGATGCTCTTGGTTTCGGTTCAGTTAAACTATTTAATTTCTGGTAGATTTAAGAACCGTTCAATTATTTAAAAAAATCGATTTGTTCTGATTATATCGGTTTTTGGTTCGGGTAGTAAAGTTGAGAACAAGAAGTTGGAATCCAATTTGGTCTTGATTCGGTTCTAGTTTTTCAGGTAATATAGATAAAAATAACAGATAATTCGGATTTTTCAGGTTAAATATCAATTAATTTGGATTGTTCAGATAAAAAAATCAATTGATTCAAATAGTTTTAAATATTTTTGGTAAAAAATATATTAAGGTAATCTCGGTACATTTTTCATATATATATTCATCATAATCAATGAGCAATGTACATTTTTTTCCCTTCCAAGAGTAGATTACAAAGAAGAGAGAGATGATGATGATGGATTCAAGTGTCATTGTGAGCATTAGAACGAGAAGTCCAAACACCAAACACAAGAAACCAGAAGATGAGTAAGATTACCCAGTAGCGTGCAGGACCATACCTAATTCTAGTGAGCACAACCTGTTTTTCAACTTTCTAAAATTAGTAAAATAGAAGCCATGAAAAATCTGTAAAAAAATGAGATGATTATTTACTTACAAATCTGAAGAAAATGACTACTATTAAAGTACATAGACCACCAAAAAGAAAATGAACTCCATTCTTAGCAGTTTTCTGCGCAAAATTAAAAGAGAACAGTTAGTATAACTCTCCATCAGAGAAGGTTTGATTGATGACATACCTTATCAACACGAGGAGCAATGAGCCAGACCAAAGTAACAGTGAGTAAACCAGCAGCAAGTAGAATCCCAGTACCTTCCAAAGCCCATTTAGTTGCACCGTTTTCCATAGGCAAGTTGTCAAAGTTCACAACATCTAAAGGTTGTGAAGAAGCCGCAACAGAGTTACTGTTATTATTGTTGTTGTTGTTCAGTGAATGGGGACCAAACCATGAAGATATATCACTAAGTTGTTGCCTTCTAATGGCATCAACTTCATCTCTATCTATGGTTGTATCTCCATCACCTGTTCTTTCTCTTAGCGCTTTGTAATCTCTCAAGGCAATGACCACTTTGTTGACATCACCAGTTTTAATATTTTCCGCAGCTTTCCCACAGATCTCACACTTAGTAGATCCATGGTTAAGAAACCATTTGAGAGCACAAGCGTAGTGTACCAACGCAAGCTCGTTTTTGCAAGAACATCCAAGTTCAATCAATGCATCTTGATGCTGCTTGATTCCCATTTCGATATCAATGGAACTACTCTTGTGCTCAGCCTCTGCATCACCAGCTTCGTCTGCATTGCTTTTAAGAGCTTCTGGAACTGGAGGAGTGATCTCCAAAAGACATAAGGCAACATCTCCACGTCTGTCGGATTCTGTACAGTGGCATACACGACAAGTTGGCAAACCAAAGTCACTGTCTGTACTGTAACGTGCCTCAACAGCTAGCTCCTCGTTCTTGACCGGTGGAGAATCGTTATCATTGACTTCACAGTTTTCTTTCTCCAACTGATTCTCTTTATCCATCAGGACTAACAAATTTTAAATGTTCTGTTTCTTCACAAGACCACACAAAATATTATAAGATGTCATAAACATATCAAGAATGTACAAAATGCAAAGAAAAAGGATGTAAAAGCTTACATTCAAAAGGAAACAATGGATAAACTAATGATGATGATGATGCAGCTAAATTAAGGTATCAGGTTTAAAAATGAGAATGTGATACATGAGTGAGAAGAATGCATCATTTATAACCACTTTGATCACATCAACCCAACCTTTCAGATAGTAGAAGAGCCAAAACATGCTGAGATCAACCAAACAAAATAACAAAAAGAAAGATACCAAAAGACATGACAAGATGATGTCTGAAACTAAATAAGTTTTATTCTGAGCAGGTTGTAACTAAGCATGATCAATTGCATGAAATCCAAACGAAAGACACCACTAATAGTAAGTAAATAAAATAAATATATACAAAAGTAGATGGAAGCAGTCATTACTCATTACTCCAATTGCTTAACTACAGCAGATAAAGCAGCCAGAACTATTTTTTTTTATAGCTTAAGTAGATTAAAGCGTCATTACTACAATTGGTTAACTTATATGCAGCATGAAGCAGCCATTGCCAATACACTAATTTTTATTAACAGAAGCAGATTAAACCATTAATAGTAAGTAAATACAATAAATAAATGCAGAAGCAGATGAAAGCAGTCATTAGTCATTACTCCAATAGGTTAACAACAGCAGATTAAGCAGCCAGAACTCAAATTTTTTTATAACTAAAGTAGATTAAAGCAAGCCATTACTACAATTGGTTAACTTATGCAGCATGAAGCAGCCATTACATCTAATTTTTTTAACTCAAGCAAATTAAAATGAGCAGCCATTACATCTAATTTTTTTAACTCAAGCAAATTAAAATGAGCAACCATTACATCTATTTTTTTTAACTCAAGCAAATAAAATAAGCAGCCATTCATAAAAAAAATAAAAATAAGCAGCCATTACATCTAATTTTTTTAACTCAAAACATATTAACATAAGCTGCCATTACACTAATCACAAAAGCAGAATTTTCAAGCTCTAGACCAAAAAAAAAAATCACAAATTTAAACTATCTGCAAAGTGATAAATCAAGCATGTGTCTAAATCAATAACTTAGCCAAATCTATTGGGTTTTGGAGTGAGCAAATCTCAGCCAAATCTGGATTAAGATTGAATCATGGGCTGGGCATGCGTAAAGTTAGAATAGAACCTTTCGAGAACCCAATCTCTTTTTGTTTCTGGGTAACAAGAATTTTCTGAGAAATGCACGTTCTTTTTGAGCTTAGATTCGAAAAGAGAGTTCTTGCCACTACACCAACCTTCACATGGTGGTGCTGAGAGAGCTGAGTTCTTTTTTTATATTCTTTTTTTTCTTCACTATTCAACGTTTTTGGGATATATTAAATGAAAATGTCTAAATTTTAAATTGTGTGTTTAAATTTTAGATAATGATGTTTAAATTTTAGATTGAAATATTATGTTGTTCAAAAAAATAAGATTGAAAGAATACTTCCGGGTTTATTTGTCATAAAAGTAGATTATTCAAGAAGAAATCTTGACTTCATATTTCATAACAAATCTTTTCAAATACTTTGAAAGTTGGAATCTTAGTCAAAATATTAATTCTACTTTCATAAAATATTTAATTATGTTGACTAAAAAGTTCGTTTAGTCTACAAAATTAAAGAAAAACTTATCTTTCTTATAGGAAAAACTTATCTTCTCAATATTAAAGTGTATAAAAAAATTAAAGAAAAACTTATCTTCTAAATATGTATTAAATATACTATCCGGATAATAGAAAATAAGATAATATGTATTTTTGGCTCTAATTTTTCTTGATTGTTTGAAATTAATAATTGGTATTTTCTGTAGATATCTTTTGATCACATAAACTCATAAAGGATGGAAAGGAATCTCTCACTTATACAATTTTAGGAAGTTCCACAAAAGAATTTTTCAAAAAAAGTTCCACAAAAGAACGTAATTATAAATAGTTTGATGAATGATTAAGAATCTATAATAAACTTAAAATAGTTTAGAAACTTATGAACCTGGACTTGTTTTAGTCCCCTCTTATTATGGTCTTGTTGTTAGGGTTTATAGTTCTGTTTTTTTGTTCCTTTTGCTATAATCTACTTTAAGACTAGTTTTCATCATTTTCTTGATCCTTATTACACAAATAATTTGTCTTCCCTAACTTAACCCTCCTTCCATTAGGAAACTTGATACCACCTTGACGCTTACGTGTTTGCCACCACTTAATCTTCCTGCCATGGCTCTGCTTTTTCATCTTCGAGTGTCTTCTACGATGTCTCATCAACCCTTCCACTAACACATGAAACTGTCCACCTTTGTTCTTATGTTTAGTCACCAGACCTTTGGATTCTGACTTCATCCGCCTCTCAACTAACTTCTCTTTGTCTTTCTGAAGATGTTTCTTCACTAAATGCTTCCAAGCTGATGGCTTGTGGCTTTGCTCTTTACTCTCATGGTGGTGGTGGTGGTGGTAGTGGTGATGGTGAAACACTTTACCTAACTTCTCCTTGAATCTTTTAAGCCTCCCTTTAAACTTTTTCCTCTGTTTTTCAGGTCTGCTTTTGTGTGGAGGAGAGTCACTGACTTGAGAGTTGTTATCATCACTCTCTGATGTTGTATAAGATGAGTCTTCTTCTGACTCGGTGATGCTCTCACCATGAGTTTGCCAGCTTGAGCCAGTGGTTGAACCTGTGTCTCTAGACTCTTCTAATTCTGATTCTTGATCTGTAGAAACTTGTGAGCTTGTTCCACACCGTGTGTTACCACTCTCTTCATCCCATGTCTCGGTTTCTTGATCCAACAAAGTTGGTCTCCTGGTACTCTCTCGTGGCTTAGGATGAGGCGGTAACGGCTTACGTGACCTAACTAAATCAACTTGATCATCAGGAGAACTGCTTCCTTGCGAGTCAAGATACAAAGTTCGATCATCACAAGCAGCAGCGTTATTATTCACACTTCTTAGGTAAGGTGCTATATTAGAGGTTCTTGTTGTTTGACTCGGTGGCTTGTGACTTCTCCTTAAACCAGACACAGAAGCTTGGTAGCTTTGTCTTGGTTCCATCAATGCTTTGTCACTTAACCGTTGAAAATACATTCCAGAAGATGAGTTATCTTGCATGCTACGTTGCTTGCTGCATGTCTTTGCTCTATCATCACGACGAGAACAAAAACTAAAAGCAGAAAGCTGTGTCTCGATACGTTCTATTGAGTCAACCACTTCCTCTGTTAAACCAACTTTACTAGGAAACTTGATGACACCCCTTGAGACTATGTTTCTACTCGGTGTTGGCAAACCTAACTGTACTTGTGCAAGTATCTGTAACAACAATAGTTCAAAAAAAAAATCTGTAACAACATCACAAGAAAAAACACAAAAACATGACACGGTCATGTGCATAGAGACAAGTGAAACATTATGGCCCCTAAATTTTTAAAAATAATTTATGTAGAAAAAAATTTCAAATGTGAATTTTTTTTTTATTAAAACTTTAAATAAATGTTTATATACCACAAAATCTCAGGGATCTTTGAACAGAACCAAACATGAGAACTAACCTTGGTTTGTCTAGCTAAGAGTTCCTCTGTCGCAGAATCAAGCAGACGCTTTAGTAGAAACTGAGTATTCTCATCTAACTGCGAGATTTAATTTCAACGTTACTAATAATGTCAGACCAATGAATGATAGAAACATATGGTTCTTTTAGGTTAAAACTCACCAGAAATGCTTGGGGTATGGATTCGTTGTTTACATTTGAGTGGAGAAGACCGTATAATCTTCTCAGTGACTGTAGATCGGTCTCAAAGTTTAGAGGATCCATCAAAAACTTATCAAGAAAGAACCAAAGAAAGAAAGAAAGAGCGAAGAAGAAGAGAGATGCGTCAAGATTGGAGTAACTGAAATATAACCGTTTGCAAAATAAATAAACCGTTGGTACGGACTCCTGCATCGACTTTGGTTCTTCCCGGTTTTTCTCTTAACCGGTCGAAATTATTCTAACTTTCAAAAAACAAAGCAAACTGTAATGCACACTGCCTCTATATTCTATAACAATCATTATATAATAGAATGTATTTAACATGGACACATATTAAATAAGAATGTTTTAGCAAAATATAGGTTTTATCTAATAAAGCTTTGTCTAAACATCATGTACTGAAAGTGTCTTTGTTAAATATAAACGCAGGCTCATCAAAGAATGGATGAAAAGAAAGTTAGACATTTTTAAAAACGAATAAGGTAAAGAAAAATAATGTTAAGAAGAAGCAGGCTGAGAATATATACGGAGGAGCATGATATGAATAATATCCATATTAATATGCTTGAACTTGAATATGTTCTTATGCATGCTTATCCCTTTATATATTGACAACGATCTGATGATCATACCAATCTACAACGAATATTTAAAAAGTGTAACTTTTCTCAACAACACACAAATATATTTTCTATTTTATAAAATAGTTAAAATGAAATAAGATAAGTGGATAGAAATTAAGAGAAGAAGAATATTGTTGTTTGCAGATCATTTAAACATGGCTTACTAGTACTAGATTAGTTGACAAAAAAAAAAACTAGTACTAGATTACACCTTTATTAAATGTAGCTTAACTCCACTTAACCTTTGGACTATTCTTACAATTGGTGTATTCAGAAACTCCAGCCACAAATTACTGCAATCAATCCATAATCACTAAATTACAAATATTCGGTAAAAAGTCTAAATTGTTTCAAAACCTGTTTGGTTCTTCTTCTTCCATACAATGATCATTATAACCTGAGAATTAATAGATTTTTGTCAGACTGTAAAATTCAGAATCTTAAAGAAGACTTTTGTGTAAAGAAGATCTCACTGGAACGAGTTCCAATATTTTGACACTGTTGTCAAATATTTATTTTACCAAACAGCCCTCTAAAATAGTGTGTAGAGGACACATGTCTCAAATATAACAGGGGTAAAATAGAGAAAGTATACCAAAAAGTAGCGTTGGGTCTATTTATTCGGATAATTTCCGCCTAAATATTTTTCCCTCAAAACATTTCCAGATATTTAGTTTCTTGTTTGCACAGTGTCACATAGGTTAAGCCACCACCAAAGTAGCGAAAATGAAAGCTAGAGATATGGATGCAGTGGAGATTGTTGATGTGGATGATGAGGAGGAAGAGGAGAAGGAGTGTGAGGACTGGTGCTTCGTCTGCAAAGATGGTGGAAGCCTCATGCTCTGCGACTACAAGTGAGTCTTCCTCTCTTTATCTAGAGAAACTCAATCATAATGCTGCTCCTGCTGTTTTGTTTTAAGTGTTTTGTTCTTTCTTTGCATGTTCTTGAATTTGGTTTCTGCTGATGAATGAAGGGTATTTACGTCTTTTAAGCTTGGTTATAGGACTCATCATTTTCAAGGCTGGATGAAACTAGTTAAGAGTTATTTAATTTTAATTAGTGTGGCAAATTATTTATCACATTGTAATCTTCCAAGTGAATATTTCTTAGTATTTTTTTTTCTATTTAATATTGTCAATATGAATATTAAATAGATACATAATGTACTTTGCTTATTTGATATTTACAGGGACTGTCCAAAAGTTTATCATGCTTCTTGCGTTGAAAAGCACATCTCAGTACGAAACAATGAAGAATCTTTGATCTGTAGTAAGTCCTAACTTTTTCATTATCATATATATATATATATATATATATATATATTCATTGGTTGATCAAAAATAAAATAAATATATTCATTGCAATACTATAATCATGTTGAAGTAGCAAGCTTCTTTGAAGCATTGTATATCTTCTATACTTGTTTTCTCAAGGGTTTGTTTGTTAAGTTTTTTATAATTTTTTGCAATTTTCAGTGTTGCACAGTTGCTACTTGTGTAACAAGAGACCAAAGCTGGTTTGTCTTTGTTGCCCACTTGCTGTATGTGGAGGATGTTCCCATGCTGAGTTTATTCACCTTAAAGATAACAAAGGGTTATGCAATCAATGCCAAGAGTATGTCATTACTTTAGAAGAGATTCAAGAATATGGTGCTGCTAAGGTATGTTTCCAAAAACTGTCACAACCATTAACCATATCAATTGTTATTTTCTCTGCTTTTAACATTATTTTACTTGTTGACAGGACAAGATTGACTTAACAGATAGGGATACATTTGAGTGTCTGTTTCTTGAGTACTGGGAGATAATAAAGGATCAAGAAGGTGTAACTTTTGATGATGTCATTGCTTCAAAGACAAGAAAGAAAGGTACCAAGTCAAGGTACAAAGATGATCCCAAGTTTGAGCTACATCATGTCAACTCTTCAAAGTCACAAAAGAAAGGCATCAAGCTCAAGTTTGATGATGATGATGAACCAAAGTTTTCATTAACTAACCATGAGGTTGATGATGTGGAAGATTATAAACCAACGCTCAAACCTAAGAGAATGGAGTTTATAGGATGGGGTTCAAAGCCGCTTATTGAGTTCCTGACATCTATAGGAGAAGCCACAAGAGATGAGATGTCTCAACACAGCGTGGACTCAGTTATCAGAACGTACATTCGTCAGAAAAACCTGCTTGATGATGAGAAGAAGAAGAAAGTTCGTTGTGATGAGAAGCTGTTCTCAATCTTCAGGAAGAAGTATGTGAATCAAAAGAGGATTTACTCGCTTTTGAAAGCTCATTTTAAAGAGAACGTTGAGCAGATAGAGTATATCTCACTCTTGGAACGTGGCTTCGGTTACAAGAATGATAATGTTTCAGTGCCTTGCAAGAAGCAGAAAACAGAAACGTCTGATGAGGAACCTTGTGAGAAGGAAGTGGAACCTGAAATGAGACCAACTGGTTTAGCTACAATCAGTGCAGATAATATAAAACTTGTGTATCTACGCAAGAGCTTAGTGGTAGAGTTGCTGAAGCAGAGTGAGAGTTCTAGGAACAAAGTGGTGGGAAGCTTTGTGAAAGTGAGGAATGACCCTAGGGATCCTATAGCATTCCAGATCTTGCAGGTTACAGGTAAACTAGACCTTGTGATTATTAGTATTTTCTTTGGACTTCTAGATTTTGTCATATACTATATCTAATGTCTGAGTTTCTTTTCTTTTTCTTCTTCTCTGTAGACATTAAAAATGCTGATGACAAGGGCATGTTACTCTATGTTGCTGGTATGGAAAGTGATGTTAGCATTTCTAAGTTGGATGACTCTGACATAACCAAGGTGACTAGTTACTAATGTTTTTTGGTATTATTACTATACCACTGCTGTGTTCTGGCATGATGTTAGTAGAATGGTTAAAACTTTCTTTGGTTTTACCTTTTAAAAGCTAAAACCTCCACACTTTCCTCTTCAGGCAGAGATTGATGATTTGAAGCAGAAAGTGATGAGTGGTCTTTTAAGACAACCAACTCTTGTAAGTTGTTAATATGCAATATACAACACAACAGAAATTAATATTTCATTAAAATTCTGTTTTGTTTCTAATAGGTTGAGATGCAGCAGAAGGCTAAGGTCCTCCATGAGGATATAACAAAACATGTGAGTATCTCTGAAACACATTTAAATATTTGATGATGATCATACACTTGCATCTCACATTTCTTTGTGTGAATGAATGCTTTTAAACAACCAGTGGATTGCAAGGCAACTTATCATTCTGCAAAAACGTATCAACTGTGCTAATGAGAAAGGATGGAGAAAAGAATATCCTTTTACATTCTATCATCTTCAAATCTTTTATAATATGTTATAAACTTGAACACCTTAACTCTTTCCTTTTGTGGGACTATTCTTACATTAGAGGAGTACTTAGAAGAGAGAGAGCTTCTCCAAAAGCCTTCAGAGCAAGAGAGATTGTTAAGACAAAGGCCAAAGATCATTGAAGACCTCATCGAGATTGAACAAGAACCACCAGCTGCATCCTCAGATAACAGCAAAGGGAACATTTGTGGTTTGTCTCAGGAAGTGGTCATGATAGATATTGACTGAGAAACCAAAGATTCTGCAAGCATTCTCAAGAGGAAGAAGACATTTTTTCTTGTACATCTGTCTTCTCTTCCATTAGAACTTAATATCGGCTAATTCCTAATGGCTCTTCTTTTGGTATTGATTAGCTTCTGCCGAAACAAGAAGCTTATAACTTACTGAGCTGCTTATGTTTTTGTAATGAAGGTCTCATGTATGTAATATGCTATGGTCTTAAGTTTCATATTCATGTATGCTAGTGACATCCTGGAATCAAAGCTTCATAGTGTAGATTAGGTGTTCCACTGAGTAACAATAAGTGCATGAACTCAAAGAGAAACTAGAAAATAGCAAAACAACACCAACAGAAACTCAAAAACACTGTCAGGATTCAGGAAGCTGTTTCCTGTTCTTTATTTGATCATGAAAACATTAAACCTTGAGAAGATGATGATGATTTGGGCGAAAAGATTACTTGACCACACAGATCTTGATAACAGAAGCAGCTCCAATACGGTGGAGAGCCACCACAGCATCACCATGGTTACAGAGTCCTTTCTCAGTAGCAGACTTCAAAGCAGACTCAATAATCTCCTCTGTAGATTCACTATCAGTAGCTTTTGCAGATCCTTCAGCCAACATCGGAATCAAACCTCTATATATCAAACTATGCCTCGCAGGTGACTCATCGCTGCAGCTCCAGTTAAACGTATCACTGGTGAAAACCGGAACAACCACCGAGAGAATTGGAACAGCTGGTCTATACTTAGCCACGAGTTTAGCAGTTGTGCCTCCTCTGGTCAATACGATGATGAGTTTGGCCCTGGCTTTGTTTGCTGTTCTAACAGCGGATGATGCAAGACTCTCAAGTGTGCTCATTGGAAGTGGAGTTGCTCTAATCATCTCCTTGAAGATTGTGTTGTAGTCAAGTGATGACTCAGCTTCTATGCAGATTTTAGCCATTGTTTTCACTGCTATCTCAGGGTAAGCTCCTGCAGCGCTTTCACCGCTGAGCATGACACAGTCCGTGCCATCTAGAACCGCGTTTGCTACATCAGTGGCTTCAGCTCGTGTTGGCCTTGGAGATTTGATCATAGACTCTAGCATTTGAGTGGCTGTAACCACTGGTTTACCAGCAAGGTTACACTTGTAGATCATCATCTTCTGAGCTAAGAAGATCTTCTCTATTGGAATCTCCATACCGAGATCACCACGAGCAACCATGAATGCATCCGTTTCACGCAAGATGTCATCGAAGTTCAGCACTCCTTCCTGGTTCTCAACCTTCATATCATTCAAAACCAACACACAATATTCAGACAACTTACTTAACCACATATGAAATAAGGTGAATGTGTGTGTTGTTACCTTAGACATCAACATTATACTCTTGGAATGTGATCCCAGCACCTTCCTGACATTAACAAGATCTGATCCTTTACGAACAAACGAGAGAGCAATCATATCTATCTTGTTTGGAACACCCCATTTAAGAATATCTTCCACATCCTTCTCAGTCAATGTAGGGAGATCAACAACAACACCAGGGAGATTCACATTCTTTCTTTCTCCCAGCAACGCTGTGTTTTCACATCGACATCGTACAGTTCCAGCCTTTGTATCACATGCCAGTACAGCTAGACTTATGCTTCCATCTGCACATAGTATGGTATGTCCTGGCTGAACATCCACAGGCAGCTTCTTGTAGCTCATTGAAATCGTTTTCTCATCACCCTTGATGTCATAATCAGTGCTGATAGTGATCTCCTGACCTTCCTTGAGCTGTATTGGGTTCCCATCTTTCAAGAAACCGGTACGAATCTCAGGTCCCTGTGGTATTAACATGAAAATTATATATTAAACACTAACTAATAAACTCCAACCATAATGATTATCTGATCAACACATAAGATCTATGATCTATCAATTAAAATCTGGTTCTGAGATCTATAGATCCATCAACAGTACCAAGCAAACTGTAAACACTAAAGCAATTCAAACAGAACCAATTACACTCTTCTCTCCTTTTTCATATTAAAAATGTCTTTTTTTCTCTACGGAAGTTTCTTAACTAAGAGGCTGAAGAGTTTATATACTTCAACACAATCTAAACAGACACATTCATGATCTAAGTGTTGAAAAGCGAGATAAATCAGAGAAAGATTAGACCTTTGTATCAAGCATAACAGCAGCTAGCATGCCTGTATTCTGCATAGCAGCACGGAGATTGTCAAGAGTCTCCTGATGGTACTCATGACTACCATGAGAGAAGTTGAAACGAGCAACATTCATGCCAGCTCTAAGAAGCTTCTCAATCATAGGAACAGAGCGAGAAGCAGGACCTAAAGTGCAAACAATCTTGGTCTTTGGAGTCCTACCATCATTAGGTAGATCCTTCATTATCCCTTCTATGTCTATGTTCGACATTTCTTCCCAAATCTCACCTGAATTATGAACATTTCTCACATTATCAATTTTATACCAATGTTTAAAAAATCTTTATAAGAGATTATTGATTAGTAGGACGCCTAAGACCAATTTTTTTAATTTTTTTTTTGTAATAAAAAAAAGTTAGTTTCACCTCTTCGCCAGGAATCAAGCATTGTAAATAGTCTCTACTACCACGAACTGAATCCAAGTGGCGGAAGTTACACTAACCTCTTTATCACTAGATCAATTCGACGTTTTGACCGATTAATTTGTTTTTTAGAACACTGATATATAACTATTAATCAATTAATCCAAGTGGCGGAAGTTACAGTAACCTCTTTACCACTAGATCAACTCGACGTTTTGACCGATTTGTTGGTTTTTTAGAACACTGATTTATACCTATTAATCAATTTTTATTACAAGATTCAAAGAAATTTTAAGATCTTCATGGTTGATTCTAAGCATACAAGGGATCACGAGAAGAGATCAAGTTACATCAAAGTTTTAACTTAATGAAATGAAATGTTACGTGTGATCAGATCCTATACATGGTTACTATGAGATCGGATCTAAGGGATTTAGAAGAGTGGAGAAGATGATCGGAGAGGATTTTATTTTACCTGAAAATGGAAAGCTGCTTCGGTCTGATGAAGTGTGAAAAGCCGCCGGAGAGAGAGTCGGAATGTTGTTTGTTATACCGAAGAGAGGTTTTTATAAAGTCGTGGCTTTAATGCCACGTGGAACTTTATAGCCAATGAGAGTTTTAGTGTTGTTATTAAAACAACAAGAAAGTCCGAATATCGTGGACATGGCAAATACCGGCGCTTTTTCATGTTCTTTTTTTTTATTTGAATTTGTTTTATGTGTAATTCTCTATGTTACATGGAAACAAACACGCATATGTGGAAAGAGAATCGTATGAAAGCGCGGAATCTAGATTTTTTTTTAAAATTAGAAAGTGGATACGTGTTGGAAGTGTATATCCAAATATACATATATATATATATATATATATAAGAAAATTTATAACTAAGAATTATATGATTCTAATTTTAAATAAAGCATTTATTCATTTATTATAATTTTAAAGGATTGCATATTATAATTGTGAAAATATGGATAAATTAAGTTTATAAACAAATATTACCAATTAGTTATTTTTAACATTTGATAAATAATTCTGGATCATACATATATAAATGTATTTGCTAAAACCTTTTTCTATACATAGTATATATCATAACAATTTGCTCATATTTTTTTTTCATTGATGGAAAAATTACAATCCAAGTATTAGTTAATATATTAGTTAATTATACAGCTGCAACTGTTAAATGTGTTCAAGAATTATTGGAATAAAAGTTGATCGTATAAAGAAAAAAAAAGCAGAACAGATTTATTCCATTCATGAATAGTTTCGTTTGAGTTTTGTGATTTTGTCTATATGTTTATAAAACTAACAGAATGTCTATTTCGTCACATTCAGCTACACTAACATGATCATCACACCTCTGTAAATACTAAATGGCATAGCTCATGTATCAACAAAGGTGAAAAGAAATAATACCTTTACTCGTTTACATAATCAGATTCTATATTCTAATAATTTTACAATACTAGAGACGCAGAGCAACACACACAACACAAAAATTTGGACCACAGTTTATACTCTGTTGCATGAGATTCCACGAGAAGTCTGCTATGTTTTTCATCTTTTTCTTCCTCCTCAAGTTTTATAGGTTATATTTTCGGATAAATACTATCTATAATATTTAGCATTTTTAGTGTTATTTAAAAAACCTAATCACACTCTAAATTTATATATATGTATGCCAAACTTATTTTCATGGTATGTGGGCATCTTTTATAATTTTCCAATGAATAATTTATTTAAACTTTATATACCACCTAATAAGTGGACTAACCCCTATAAAAACTCTGTTTTCTGAAGAAACAGGAACATTTGAGCTCTCAAACCTCTTTAATCTACATACTATGTTAATTCATGATGCAGCTATGCATTAAAACAAAAATATCATTTTCTCTAATTTATCTTGAAATATGTAGGTGATAATTCCTACGAAAAGATAGAATTTGCGGATAAAGATTATCTATACTATTTAGCCTCTTTAGTGTTGTTTAAAAATACCTAACCACATTCCAAATTTATAAACATTTATGCTAAACATATTTTTATGGTATTTGGCCATCATTTCTAATTTTTCAATGAATAATTTATTTGAACTTTATATACCACCTAATAAATGGACAAGCCACTATAAAAACTCTATTTTCTGAAGAAACGAGAACACCTAAGCTCCCAAACCTCTTTAATCTTCATACTATGTTAGTTCATGATGCAACTATGCATTAAAAAAAATCGTATTTTTTCTAGTTTTTCTTGAAATATGTAGGTTATCGGATTGAGACGGTTTTTCTCTCACCTGGAGGATCGGTCGGTCACTCTTGGACGTCTCACCGACAGACGAAGCTGTGGGTTCCGCATGGTCAGACCCCTACGAAAAGATTGAACTTTTGGATAAATATCTATAATATTTAGCTTCTTTAGTGTTGTTTAAAAATACCTAACCACACTACAAATTTATATATATGTATGCAAAACTTATTTTCATGGTATATGAGCATCTTTTATAATTTCCCAACTAATAAATTATTTAAATTATATATACCGCCTAATAAATGGACAAACCCAATAATAACTCTATTTTCTGGAGAAACGGGAACACCTAAGCTCTCAAACCACTTTAATCTTCATACTGTGTTAGTTCAAGATCCAGCTATGCATTAAAACAAAAATATTATTTTTTTCTAATTTTTCTTGAAATATGTAGGTTACTACCCCTACGAAAAGATTGAATTTTCGGATAAATACTATCTATAATATTTAGCCTCTTTAGTGTTATTTAGAAATACCTAATCAAACTCCAAATTTATATATATGTATGACAAAATTATTTTCATGGTATGTGGCCATTTTTTTATAATTTCCCAATGAATAATAATTTAAACTTTATATACCACCTAATAAGTGGACTAACCCCTATAAACCCTTTATTTTCTAGAGAAACGGGAACACCTAAGATCTCAAACCTCTTTAATTTACATACTATGTTAGTTCATGATGCAGCTATGCAATAAAACAAAAATATCATTTTCTCTAATTTATTTTGAAATATGTAGGTTAACCCCTCACGAAAAGATTGAATTTTCAGATAAATACTATCCATACTATTTAGCCTCGTTAGTGTTGTTTAAAAATACATAACCACACTCCAAATTTACATATATGTATGCATAACATATTTTCATGGTATTTGGGCATAATTTAAAATGATTCAATGAGTAATTTATTAAACTTTATATACCACTTAATAAATTGACTAACCTCTATAAAAACTCTATTTTCTGGAGAAACGAGAACACTTAAGCTCTCAAACCTCTTTAATCTTCATACTATCTTAGTTCATGATGCAGCTATGTATTAAAACAAAATTTTTATTTTTTCTAATTTTTCTTGAAATATGTAGGTTAACCCCTTACGAAAAGATTAAATTTTCGGATAAATACCATCTATACTATTTAGCCTCTTCAGTGTTGTTTAAAAATACATAACCACACTCCAAATTTATTGTATGCTAAACATATTTTCATGGTATTTAGGCATAACTTCAAATTTTTCAATGAGTAATTTATTTAAAATTTATATACCACCTAATAAATGGAGTAACCTCTATAAAAACTCTAGTTTCTGGAGGAGCGGGACCACTTAAGCTCTCAAACCTCTTTAATCTTCATACTATGTTAGTTCATGATGCAGATATGCATTAAAACAAAAATATTATTTTTTCAAATTTTTCTTGAAATATGTAGGTTAACCCCTACGAAAAGCTTGAATTTTCAGATAAATACCATCTATACTATTTATCCTCTTTAGTGTTGTTTAAAAATAGACAACCACACTCCAATTTATATATATGTATGATGAACATATTTTCATGGTATTTGGGCATAATTTCAAAATTTTCAATGAGTAATTTATTTAAACTTTACATACCACCTAATAAATGGACTAACCCCTCTACAATCTCTATTTTCTGGAGAAACGGGAACACCTAAGCTCTCAATCCTAATTAATATTCATACTATGTTAGTTCATGATGCAAATATGCATTAAAACAAAAAAAAATATTTTTTTTCAAATTTTTCTTGAAATATGTAGGTTAACCCCTACGAAAAGCTTGAATTTTCGGATAAATACCATTTATACTATTTATCCTCTTTAGTGTTGTTTAAAAATAGATAACCACACTCCAATTTATATATATGTATGATGAACATATTTTCATGGTATTTGGGCATAATTTCAAATTTTTCAACGAGTAATTTATTTAAAGTTTATATACCACCTATAAATGGACTAACCCCCATACAAACTCGATTTTCTGGAGAAACGGGAAAACCTAAGCTCTCAAAACTATTTAATATTCGTACTATGTTAGTTCATGACGCAAATATTCATTAAAACAAAAATATTATTTTTAACAATTTTTTCTTGAAATATGTAGGTTAACCCCTACGAAAAGCTTGAATTTTTGGATAAATACCATCTATACTATTTATCCTCTTTAGTGTTGTTTAAAAATAGATATCCACACTCCAATTTATTTATATGTATTATGAACATATTTTCATGGTATTTGGGCATAATTTAAAAATTTTCAATGAATAATTTATTTAAACTTTATATACCACCTAATAAATGGACTAACCTCTATAAAAACTCTATTTTCTGGAGAAACGGGAACACCTAAGCTCTCAAACCTATTTAATATTCATACTATGTTATTTCTTGACGCAAATATTCATTAAAACAAAAATATCATTTTTTACGAAAAGCTTGAATTTTCAGATAAATATAATCTATACTATTTATCCCCTTTAGTGTTGTTTAAAAATAGGTAACCACACTCCAATTTATATATATGTATGATGAACATATTTTCATGGTATTTGGGTATCAATTTTAATTTTTTCAATGAGTAATTTATTTAAACTTTATATTCCACCTAATAAATGGACTAACCCCTATAAAAACTCTATTTTTTTGGAGAAACAGGAACATTCAAGCTCTCAAACCTATTTAATCCTTATACTATGTTAGTTCATGATGCAGATATGCATTAAAACTAAAATATTATTTTTTCTATTTTTTCTTGAAATATGTAGGTTAACCTCTACGAAAAGTTTGAACTTACTGATAAATACCATCTATACTATTTATCCTCTTTAGTGTTGTTTAAAAATACATAACCACACTCCAAATTTATATATATGTATGCTGAAAATATTTTCATTGTATTTGGGTATCATTTTTAATTTTTCACTGAGTAAGTTATTTAAACTTTATATACCACCTAATAAATAAACTAACCTCTATAAAAACTTTATTTTCTGGAGGAACGGGAACCCTTAATCTCACAAACCTCCTTAATCTTCATACTATGTTAGTTTATGATGCAGATATGCAATAAAACAAAAATATTATTTTTCTAATTTTTCTTGAAATATGTAGGTTAACCCCTACGAAAATTTTGAATTTTCGGATAAATACCATCTATACTATTTATCCTCTTTAGTGTTGTTTAAAAATACCTAACCACA